AATAGCACCAAATTTCTTTTTTTTTTTCAAAAACTTCTTTTTCCATATGTGATTAGTAAAACTCAAAGCATTGGAGGCTTTTATGGACTTTCCTAACCTGTGCCAGAGTACTAGCATCTCATCAATGTCTGTCAGTTGCATCTTCCCCAATGACTCTGTCAGTCTGCCACTCCTCTTTTGACATACCAGAGAGCGGAGCGCTCCTTACGGAGGACCCATACTTTAAATCACCTCCCACTATAGCTGCAGAGTGGGATCCAGATGTACACTTTCTGGATTCATCTTATATTTCCCTCATCTTACTTCTAATTCCATCGCACATCTCCCTCCTCCTTCTGTCTTCTTAACCTTTCCTGATAGCATGGGGAAAAATGGTGTACTCGCCAAGGCCTTGTGTTGGAAGAGTTTGGGAGCAGATGTGAAAAGATCTACCTGCATGTCTAAGCGTTGTCCCTCGGCCACTTGTTTTGGCTCTCCATCTACCTCTGTAGTGTTCCTTCTTCTCATATCTAGAGACCAAACCTCCCCAACATTCCACAGAAGGTCCCATCTTTCTAGTGCAGATACACACACATGCAAAATTAAATAGAGAAACAAAATTCATGGCCAGTGAAGCCTGCTCCTCCATCTTTACTTTCTCCTCTATGTCCCCATAGTGGTCTAGGTAATCACCCATACCCATGCTTCCTATCTCTTCTTCCTACGTGTTCTTATTATGCATGTCTCTAAAATATGTGCAGTATTTATATGTAAAGAAAACTACAAAAATACCAATGCCACAAAACAAACTGAATGATATACTATGCTAATTACTTGCAGGAACAATTTTCTTAAGTTATCAAGTCTACACAAAATGAACTATAAACTAATCGTATCCTTAAGGAAAGCACGACAGAAGTTTGTAATTGTTCTAACATTTATGTGGAAAACCAAACAAGCTATGGTAGTCGAAACAAATTAAGAAAATGCAATGTTGAAAAATTCAAAGAATTTGATTTAAGACTTGTTACCATCTGATAGTGGTTAACATATCTTGAAATATGTGAATGCAGACACACGAGATCTAGAAATAGATTTGTGTTTGATTCTTTGGTTGTGGAGCTAAGAATAAAATCCAAGCACTCGCATATGCTAAGCATGCACTCTAAGGGTGGGGTAAATTCTGTCCTTACAAATTTAAGTTTCAATAGAAAAAGAAGCCTTCTGATAAATAGTACATAAAATATTGTGTATATGTGCATGAAACAAGCAAATGAAACCCCCATTTCTACTTTTATCCCAGGATAGACTGTAGGCCCATACATAAAACATTTAGGACATAGCACTCCACCTTTTTTTCCTATAAAACATCAAACAGTAGAATATTTAAGATTTAGTGGGCCACATATTTTTTGTGCAACTTCTCTTGGATAACCCCACGTAATCTTGTTTCTCTCATTTATGTGGCAAATAAGTGACAAAAGAAGCAAAGAAGGAGGGATTGATTTTGGTTAACCAGTTCTAGGGTACAGTCCATTATGAAGGGGAAGTCATGACAGCAAGAGCTCAGGGCAGCTGTTCTCACTGCGTCGATTTTTGGGAAGCAAAGAGATGAAAGTGCTTGGCTCATTTTCTCCTTTTCAGAGTCAGAGACAACAGCTCATTGAATGGTGTCAGGCACATTTAGGATGAATCTTCTCCCCTTCATCTAATCCAAATAATGCCCTACAGTCTAGAGTCTTGGTTCTAAATCTTGTCAAGTTAATAATCAATATTAAACATTGTAAGTTATGGAAAAAGTATCCTCAGCTTATAGACAGTGGAACCACAGGTGTATAGGTCAAATTTAGCTTTCTTTTTAATTTCTTTAAAATTTTATTTATTTATTACATGTACAGTATTCTCAATATTCTATCTGCAGGCCAGAAGAGGGCACCAGATTTCATTACAGATGGTTGTGAACCATCATGTGATTGCTGGGAATTGAACTCAGGACCTTTAGAAGAGCAGGAAGTGCCCTTAACAGCTGAGGCATCTCTCCAGCCCCTTAGCTTTCTTTTAAGTGAAAGCATAGGAGAAAAGTCTTTCTGATCATAACCTAGACAAAAACTGTTAGATAGAATACTAATAATCATAAAAAGGGAGACTACTAACTTGAACTTTATTAAAATAAAGTATTTTTATATCATATCTAGGGAACTATTTGTAAGCAGAAAATATAAAAATACATAAAACTCAGCAGTCAGAAAACAACAACTACATTAAAAACTCGAGTCAGAAAGCATTGGCATCTACTTAAACAGATATTTATATTTTACCACAAAAGACAACCAAATGATAAGCAATTACATATAAGAACTTCAATGTAGACATCTGCAAAATATAAGTTCAAACTACAGTGAGATAGATACATGACTATAAGAATTGGCTTTCTTGAGATATCTTTATTGAGGGAGCCATTATAGAGTTAGCAGAAACCTGGCTCTAGAGAAAGTCCCAGGAACCCACAAAGATGATCCCGCCGAAGTCCCTAAGCAATAGAGATGAGGGGGCCCAATCTTGACTTGTCCTGTAGTCAGACTGATGACTATCTTAAATATCACCATGGAACCTTCATCCAGCAACTGATGTAGTCAAAGGCAGAGACCCACATCGGAGAACTGGACTGAACTCCCAAGGTCCAATTAAGAGTGGAAAGAATGAGAATATGAGCTAAGAGGTCAAGACCATGATGGGTTCACCCACTGAAATAGTCTAGCTGAGCTAATGGGAGCTCACCAACTCCAGCTAGACTGGAAAGGAACAAGCATAGGATCAACTAGGCCCTCTGAATGTGGTTGACAGTTGCATGGCTGGGGCAGACTGAGGGGACACTGGCAGTGGCATCAGGATTTATCCCTACTGCATGTACTGGCTTTTTGGGATCCCATTCTCTTTGGATGGGTACCTTTCTCAGCCTAAATATAGTAGGGAGGGCCTTGAACCTTCCACAAAGCAATATGCCTCTCTGATGATTAGATCGGGGTGGAGTGGGAGGGTATGTGGAGGGTATGGGAGGAAGAGAGGAAGTGGGAACTTGAATTGGTTTTTTTCAATCTAATAAATTAAAAAAAGAATTGGCTTTCTTTTCAAGAACAAGAAAACTGCCACCAAGTATGTGGAATAACTGAGTTTTTCTTATAGCTAGTTACAATGCAAAACAGTGCAGCCACTTTGCGAGTTATTTTAGTCTCTAGTACAGAAACCAAAAGCAAGCTTAGTTTCACTTTGAAAGTTTTGTGCCAATGTATTAGGAAGGAAAGCATGCTCTTACACTCTTAAACTGCAGGCCCATTTCTAGGTATTTACAAAAGAAAACTATGAAACTCCGCATAAAAATCTGTGAGTCTACATTCATAGGCGCTAATTCATAATCAACAAGAATTGGCAACAGCCCAAATGTCCATCAAACAACAAAGACTAACACAGTGTAATGTATTTATACAATGAAATATTTGATTTGTGGTGTTAGGAATCAAGTCCAGGACCTCGTGCATGCTAAACATTCACTCTAACTGCTGACATAAATCTCAGCCCGACATGTATCTTTCAAAAATTTACACAGTCAATTTCAATAGAAAAATAAATCTTTGCAACAAACAGTGCTAACATGATTGGATATCTGTATACACAATAAGCATAAATGAATCTTACATCATCATATTAAGTGAAAAAAGACATACTCAAGGGACAACATACTGCATGATTGCATTTATGGCATTCTGGAAATGGAAAACTTGGAAGAAATAAAGTGGAACAGTAGCTGCAAGAAAATTGACATGTGGGAAAGGACCAACAACCGATGACAGGTGCTTCTGAGGATCGATGAATCAGTTCTAAAGCTGGATTACAGTGGCTCTTATATGGCTGTATACATTTGTCAGAGCTCATCCAAGGATTCTCTGAAGGAGCAGGTTGTTTTCTTTTAAATACACTGTTTTTATTAATTCTTTAGAAATGTATGCATACTATGTAGGTTTCCCACTCCTGCCTATAACACCTTTGAGATCCATCCTTCACCTACCTCTCCATGCCTCCAAACTTCATGTCCTCTATTAAAAAAGAAATAATCTCCTGGGTCTAACTTGTGCTGCTCCTATGCTCATGAGTCCATTAGAATATGAACAGCCTACCAGGGGCCACACCCTTAAAGAAAACTGACTTTCCCTTCCCCAGAAGCCATCAACTGCCAGTAACTCCTCAACTAGGGATGGTGGCACATGAGCCCCTGTCCCCTCTATACAGGAACGTCCACTGGTTTGATCTTGTCATGTCCCTAAGTGCAGCTGTCCTGGCATCTGCAGAAGACACTCATTTTCTCTAGTCCTTCCTGACTCCTGGCTCGTGCAATCATTCCACTCCCTCTTCCTCAGTGTTCTCTCAGTAAATTTTAATAGATAAAATAATTTTTGACAAAGTGTAAATGATAGCAAATGCAGAGAGTGAAAAGTTTCTAATGTCAAAATATTTTAGGCAAGGTGGGGAGAAGCTGGAGCACATTTTCAGCCATATGGCCTTGAGTTAATAACAGGAAGATGCTGATGTTTATCTGTTTAAAAACTATAAGTGATTAAATACTATGTTTTCTTAAGAGTTGCACAGTATAAATTACAGATAGTAAGAAGGCATAGGTTAGAACCTTTTGTGCATTTTAGAGAGTTGAGACAGATGCTGAACTTGACTACTTGCCTTGTGTTAAATAAGTAACCATTAATGGGACTTCTGTTTGGGTACTTATTTTTACTTTTCTTTCTGGATAAATTAGTCTTATTGCATCGTATGCCATTTTGTTGATTTCACTAGAAGGCCTGCTCTTTCCTGAAAGGAAACAGGAGAATTGTGGATATAGGAGAGAAGGGTGATGAGGAGAACACCAGAAGGAGGGGAGGGAGAGGAAACTGTGGTCGGATGTAATGTATGAGAGAATAAAGAAAAAGAGGGAAGCTGTTGTTTTTAACATGTAAACTGTTTTTTTTTATAAGGTGATGTTGGATCAAATGGACAGCCTGGCCCAATAGGGCCTCCTGGACTGCCAGGAATTGGTATTCAGGGACCACCAGGACTACCAGGAACTCCAGGGCCAATCGGCCAACCTGGTAAGATCACAGTAAATGTGCCTCTTATAGGACATGCAGCGCATATGAATGCCTTCCAGCAAAGTGATTTAAGAAGTAATTTATGCATGTATATAATTTTATAAAATTTTGAATTATAGATCACAGCATAAGAGCTAATTTAATACTTAATGTTTCTCTTCTCTGTTCACCTAAAAGCCATTTATTTCTAATAGCATGAATTGATAATTACACGGTTACCCTTGGCATATAATCATTGGACAATACAGTTTTAGAAACATAGACCTCAAACTGTTAGTGCTGATTATTTCAGAGCGGAGTAGCTATAATGCAATAATATACAAGACTTTCATGTAGAACTTTTTCATGCTATTAACACATAAAAGCCATAATTAAGGTTCTACAAGAGTGTTCTGTAAAAATATATCACAGGTATTTTGTTTCCTTTTATTTGATTCCCTCCTCCTTCTCTTTTTCTCCTAGACTGGGAATAATTTTATAACTGAGAACACTAAGCATTTTTAAAAAATTAGCTACTCAGGTTTTGTGAATATGTAGCCTAGTGATTTTGCCTCCATAGAGTAGTAATTGTATGGCTTTTCTGTATTTGTACAAGAGTCTATGCGAATTGTGGATTTTCTGTTTACTCGGGTATAGTAAGGCCCATCCTCAGGCCTGAATTTAGTATTTCAAAATATTGTAATAGCTCATAAAGTGAAAACAAATATGAAATGTTTAACTGTTTTAAATTCACATGAACATATCAGAAAGTTGAGCACAATTCAGATGAACATGTAATTCCTTTGAACACATAGACCTTCAATGATACTTGATATGTTGTCTGTCATTGCATTAAAAAAATCTCAAAACAGTGGTTAACAGTATCAAATGCCCATAAAGGCTATTTTTATTCATGTACTATTTTAAAACTCGATTTGAAGGCATGCTGTACCTTTTTATGGCCCCTGACATGTCGTTACTGATTGAAGGCATTTAAAAAAAACTGGGAGGCAAGCTTTAAACAAAGGTCCTATAAATAGTTGCTTCATCGTTCAAGGCAAAAACACTTTGCCCAACCTGAATAGCAGCAGGATTGTGAAGAAAAACAAAAAGGATTGTTAGTTTGGGCCTTACAGATGTCACCTGCTATTTCACAATGAAAGATAAAATGAATTTATCACTTCTGTTATGTTTTATTGTTTCTTGAAAAAGTTAATGGCTGTAGAGAAGCAGTTTGAATTCATACATCATAGCTGAATGAAAATAAAACATTAATAAGAATCTTAATAAAATACAAAGTGTTAATATGTACTTTTTAATTGTACCTAATAACTTGCAATTGTTTTATTTATTAAGTCATCTAATAGTCTATTTCTGTGTCACTTTTTCCTTCCCTCCTCGGATAGCATATATACACATATTGATCATAAAGACTGCATAGGATCAGAACAATGCAAATTAACACATTTTAATTTACTTTCATATATTAGCCTATAATTTTTTTCTTTGACATAGACTTTATAGCTAAACTAATAGCATTAACAGCTAATAAAAGTTAGTATAAAAATTATTCAAGCCTGGTGGTGGTGGCGCACGCCTTTAATCCCAGCACTTGGGAGGCAGAGGCAGGCAGATCTGTGTGAGTTCAAGGCCAGCCTGGTCTACAAGAGCTAGTTCCAGGACAGGAACCAAAAGCTACAGAGAAACCCTGTCTTGAAAAATCCAAAAAAAATTATTCAATACACTCTCAATATATAAGTTTTCAAATCATATTTTTATTATTCATGGAACATGTATTTATTTTTAAAGTAAATTTTATTAACATCACCAAAGCAGAGTACTAACTTCACCCATTTTTAATTATCTTGATTCTTAAATGGTAAAGTGATCAGCAAGAATATTCCTATTATCTTACTAACCCTGAGTTATAGTGCATGACTGAAACTGCCAGAAGCTTATTAATATACTTATTTCATTTTCTAATAAAAAATTAATACAAAATACTAAGAACTGATAGTATCATATTATTAAACAACACGTAAGACAAAGCCAAAATTAGATCCAAACAAACTCACTTATTTGGTAACTATTTAGAAGGGTCAACATAATATGTACTAATAATTGATGCCTATTATCTTGACCCCCTCTAAATAACTATCAAATAATGGAACAGTGAAAATCTAGCTGTGGTCGGTGTGTCAGTGACAAATCATAAGATATTAAAAATTTATAATGAGATAAACAATGAAGAATATGCATTCAAAGTTCTACAACAATTTAATGTTATAATGCTATTTATTGAATATCCAACCAGAAAACTGTGCTCTTATTTCATGGTTTTGGTATTTTTTGTAGTTTATTAAAAAGTTAGTCAACAATGAACTAAGGATTTTTAAGAATTGGTTTTTTATAATAATAAAAATAGTTTTGTATTTTGAATGAGTCTTCCTCATGACTCTGACAATGACTTGAAACATACCTTTTTTAAAAAGTAATTTGAGAAAACCATCTTAAAGAAATATGATTTAAAGTGTTAATGCTCCATCTTCTTTAGTCATTCTTACATGAACAATGCCAAAGAGTCTCTAATGTACTCTCTTAGGTTTATCATATGCAGATCCTATCAGTTCTTTATGAGAAAAATAACCAGATCCATTGCTTAGAAACTGCTTCAATACTTTCTCATGATAATGTTTTGTAAACCAGGCTTAAATGGAATACCAGGAGAGAAGGGAGATCCAGGACCTCCGGGGTTTGATGTTCCAGGACCACCAGGAGACAGAGGTAGTCCAGGGCCCCCTGGAATCCCTGGCCTCATAGGACCTCCAGGATCACCCGGTCTCCCAGGAAAAGCAGGTGTTCCTGGATTTCCAGGTAGTATTTAATGATTTGTCTGACTGAGGATAAATGAAACTAATATTATTATGACTCTGACAAATAATTTTCATATTGTGTTTTACAAACTGACACTATCTATTAAGGAAGAGCGTTAAGTGTATGAATGTTGGAAACTCGGTTTCCTTTTTGCTCTATACTCTTATTCTGTGTGACAGTACCAGTTATGTATTACTATATAATAAATGATGCAAATTGTGATTGTTTAAAGCTACTTTTCAAACTCTTTGCTCAAGATTCTGTGGGTCAGAAATCAAGGGGTTTTTACCAGATTATTTACCAGATTATTTTTTGTAATTCATATGACTTCCACAAGAATGTCTGGAGTTGAATAATCCAGTTCTATAATGACAGTTTTCTGATGCTTGGGTCTTTTGTAGCTCATGTGCCATCTGATCATTCATAATGCCTCTTCTCATCCTTGTAACTTCCCTCCATTGAAAGTGACTTCCCTAAGAAAGAATTTCATGAGGTAAAACTGAGGTCCTAGAGAGAGAGAGCTCAGTGGTTAAAGGCACTGACTGCTCTTCCAGAGAACTGGGGATCGATTCCCAGCACCCACATGGTAGCTCACAATTTTAACAACAGTCCTAGGGGATGCAGTACCCTCTTCTGGCCTCTGCAGGTTCTGCATGCACGTGGTGCACATACATTCATCCAAAACACCCATACACATAGATAGATAGATAGATAGATAGATAGATAGATAGATAGATAGATAGGTGCTTTTTGGTGAGAAAAGTGAGAAAGAGCAAGATAGAGGGAGTGGAAGAAGGAGAGGGGAAGAAAGAGAGACAGAGGTGGACAGAGACAGAGGGAGAGAAAGAGAGGCTTTCCAAAGTCCAAAAACACAAAATGTACTCACTGATATTTTCTAAAGGTGCCAAAGGAGAAATAGGTATGATGGGACTTCCGGGCCCACCAGGACCTTTGGGAATTCCCGGCAGAAGTGGTGCTCCTGGTATTAAAGGTAAGAACTGGAGTTTAGTGACAGTTATGTGTGACAAAGGAAATGAAACATTGTGTTCTACCAATACAGGTTTTGTTTTTCCTATTTTAAGACCAGCAATGCTTAGTGTTTTATTTCTTTGTGGTTTGTCAATTAAAAAGTCTTGTTTTCAGTTTGATGACATACTTAATCTGTATACCTGAAACATTGTACATGCTTAGTCCCTAATCTGAGAATTAAGCTTCAGGTTTTTCTAATGGCAAGCCTTTAACGGTCATCCAAGAATTCCGTACAGCAGAGAGATTACCGGACTTTTTAAATATGTATGCGCTCAAGTAATTCATTGGCAGACATCAAGTTACATAAATGTTTTTAGAGCTTAGATGTCTACCTAGTTATGAGACAAGTGACGATTTTACATGCATTAATTATGGATGGACAAATTTAGTGTTCTTTGTTGATTTTAGGTGATGATGGCATGCAAGGTCAACCAGGTCTTCCGGGCCCCGCAGGAGAAAAAGGTGGTAAAGGAGAACCTGGCCTTCCAGGTCCTCCTGGACCAATGGATCCAGATTTCCTGGGTTCAAAAGGAGAGAAGGGTGAGCCTGGCTTACCAGGTAGGTGAATGGATGGATTCACAAATACATTATTTTTGCATATGTGAAGTTAAATTTTGAGGAGGATACTGGATAACAAACACAGTCCCACATGGATGCTAGCACATGCTCTTTTACCATACTACATACCCAGTCCCTGAAATCTGACTTTACACATATTTATCCATTTATACATGTATATATGCATGTATGTATGTATGTATGTATGATTGTGTGTGTCTCACTGGATGTGTAGAAGTCAAAGAACTACTTTCAGCAGTTAGTCCCCTCCATCCTCATTGTGAATTCCAGGAACTGAACTCAGGTTATTGGGCTTTTCACAAAACACCTTTACCTACTGAGCCATCTTGCTTGGCCTCTGACATTTTATTTTAAGTATCAGAGAAGTAGCTTGGAGTTACTCAACTCAACAAGTCAATTGTCAATATTCACAATTTTGGTAGTGAATATTTCATTGGATTCATGGTGTTTCATTGATTAGCTTTCTGCTTGAATATTTTCTTTGTCATTTACCTGTCATGAGCTACAGGATTTTTTAAAAATTTTTTTATTGAAAAAATTTCTGCCTCCTTCCCACCTCCTATTTCCCCCCTCCCCCCACTCCTCTCCCCTCACTCCACTCCTCTCCCTCTCCCCCCATTCCTTTACCCCTCCCTCTCCAGTCCAAAGAGCAGTCAGGGTTCCCTGCCCTGTGGGAAGTCCAGGGTTCTCCCCACTCCATCCAGGTCTAGGAAGGTGAGCATCCAAACAGGCTAGGTTCCCACAAAGCCAGTTCATGCAGTAGGATCAAAACCCAGTACCATTGTCTTTGGTTTCTTATCAGCCCTCCTTGTCTGCCATGTTCAGAGAGCCCAGTTTTATCCCCTGCTTTTTCAGTCCCAGTCCAGCTGGTCTTGGTGAGCTCCCAATAGGTCAGCCCCACTGTCTCAGTAGGTGGGTGCACCCCTCGCGGTCCTGACTTTTTTTTTTTTTTGCTTTTAAATTTTTTTTTATTTTTTTATTTTTTTTTATTAAGAAAAGGAGAAAAAAAACATAAACAAAAAACAAGTTTCCACCTCCTCCCAGCCTCCCATTTCCCTCCCCTTCCTCCCACCCTTCTCCCCCGCCCCCCACTCCTCTCCCCCTCCCTCTCCAGTCCACAGAGCAGTCCGGGTTCCCTGCCCTGTGGTAAGTCCTAGGTCCTCCCCCCTCCGTCCATGTCTAGGAAGGTGAACATCCAAACTGGCTAGGCTCCCACAAGCGCCCAAGATGAGGTTCCCAGTTAGTTCCTTGGGCAGCTGAAGATAGGTCCTGACTTTCTTGCTCATGTTCTCCCTCCTTCTGCTCCTCATTTGGACCTTGGGAGCTCAGTCCAGTGCTCCAATGTGGGTCTCTGCCTCTATCTCCATCCATCGCCAGATGAAGGTTCTATGATGATATGCAAGATATTCATCAAGATGTGGGGAACTGGGGAGATGGCTCAGTGAATTGAGGATTTGTTACACAAGCAAGAAACTGAATTTGAATCCCCAGAACACACATGAAAGTAAAGCAGGCACATACCTGTAATCCTAGCACTTTTAAGGCAGAAATAGGAGAACTCTGGGAAGACCTTTGAATTCAGTGAGAGACCTGTCCTCAATAAACAAAATTTCAACTCTGGGCCTCTATATGCACATGTAAACAGATATGTGCGAACAAACATACGAACATGTAGATACACACATATACACACATACATACATACATGTACTCATAAGTAAAACAGACTTAAATCACTACCTTCAGGATTTCCAGAAGTACCACATGAGTACAGAAGAGAAGTCACTATACTTTGGAACAGCATTTGGTATTTAGAAAATGTAGTGTTCCTTTTTATTTTTTTCCTTTGAGACCAAATGAAGCTGAATAGTATAATGTTGTACATAACAGGTTTTAAATTGTAACACTATTCATTTCTTTTTATAGGAAAACAACATGGTTCATCAAAACTATCACAAAACATAAATATACATAAATTAATATAAGGCACCTGTAGCAAAGAAACATATTTTTTGAAAAAGAACTAAACTTTTAAACATTATGAAACCTTAAAATTAGTCATTAATTTGTAGCTTTTAGTACCTTTGCAGTTCGTTTTCTGTTATATTAATGTGGTCAACTGTGCATGTATGTGTGTAAACAAGTATTAGCTTCTCATTGAGCATGCTGAAAATTTTCCTTAAAAATGATTTCTTATACTGGAGCTTTTCACAAAGTACCCAAAGAGGCAGGGATATATAAATTTTAGGATGACTAAAATGAAATGTCTTTCCTGGGTATTTCTTCTTTTAACAATCAGTTTTTGATTGATTGATTGGTGGACTGGTATGTATGCACATGTATAGGCTGCAGTTCCCATGCAAATGTCAGAGGACAACTTCTAGTAGTGAGTTCTCCTGCTCCACTATGTGGGCTCTGGAGGATGAACTCAGGTCTTCAGGCTTGGTGGCTTGTTCCATTATCCACTGAGTAATCTTACCAGTTTCTGGAGTTATTATTTTACTAGGCTTCTTTTATTTTTAGCCATGTTTTCTGAATTATAGGAGTGGAAAAATATTCTTGACTTCTACTGTAGGATTACTAATGATAAAATACTTTGAGATAGTTGGGAACAAAGAGGAAGTTGGCTCTTTTGGATAATCTGAATTTCTTGGTGGGAGATAGTAAAAACTGGAGAAACTAATAGTCCATAGTACATCAGGTTATCACCAATTTGGTACTGCTGCTGTTGCTACTGGTAGGCAGGGCTAGGCATTGAACATTATTTTGTTGTTGTTCTGGTTTGAAGTACCGGGGATCAAACCCAATGATAGGCAAGTTCTCACTGAGCTACACACCCCATTACTCTCCAGGGGCATCTTGATAATCCATGTTCCATATCTGCATCATGCTAGAAGCAAAGATGCTGCACAACTGCCACTGCCAGATCTAAGAAAGTTTGTTAAATTATTGCCAAAATGAAAGCAGACACCCTGCCGAGCATCCTTACCCTCCCAAGTGCTGTGTAAGAGATGGTTTCTTTCCATCTTTTCTTCCCTAGGCATCATCGTGAAGGTGATTTCTGCTGCATTTTTTGGTCATCTTTTCATTTTCATTTGTCCTAGGAATTTTCTCTTCTTGATTTGGGAAATCAAGTAGACTATCAGAAAAATGAGCTTTTGTCACAGAGAACAGAATTAGAGAAATGGTTCAAGAGCAGCAATCCCCCAACACACACACACACACACGCACACACACACACACACACGCACACACACACGTACACACACACACACGCACACACACACGCACACACACACACGCACACACACACACACGCACGCACACACACGTACACACACACACGCACACACACACACGCACACACACACACACACACACACACACAGAGGGGGAGAGAGGGAGAATATGCCAGTTTCTCCTTTTCACTTACATACAGTTCAACACTTAAGCAGCTTTTTTTTTTTTTTTGGCAAATCCGTTTAATTTGTTAGTAAGATTCAGCCTAACTTATTTTTATGCTTACCATTGAAAGGTGTTCCTGGACTTTCAGGACCAAAAGGCTACCAGGGTTTGCCTGGAGACCCAGGGCAACCTAAACTGACTGGACAACCCGGATCGCCAGGACTACCAGGTATGTAAGATAGAACCACTGTGGCATTTGGATAGCTGATTGTGATCTTTGGAAAAGTAATTGTGACCTCCTCATGTTCAGTGATGGTTTGGATCTGGTTGGGCTTGACAAAATTGTTGACATTTAGCCAAAGTTTCAACAGACAAAATATATAGGAGATTTTAGCTTGCTTATTCAGAGTCATAGTTTGCTCAGAGCAGAATATATGTAGAACTGTGGTTCAAGTAATGTGCTGTACTTTACTATAGACACGCCAGCATATAAATAAGACAACTATCTGGTTGGAGCCTGAATAAAATCACCTGTTCGAGTTGTTTTTGTTGTTGTTCTTTGTTTGTTTGTTGCCATCAGACAAGTCAGTCATTCTGCAATGTAAAATGATGATTGAAATTTTTGATTTTTAAAATTTCTGAGGACCAAAGTTCCCCAGGCCTCCTTGTAGTTTTTTTTTTCTACAGAAATGCTCTTACAGTGACCAGTTTGCCTCAGTATTAGCTCACTTCTCAAAACTTTCAGCTGTTTGATTTTAGTTCAGCCCCTAAGAATAAAATGCAGCTGATCTTTGCCCTCTCAGAAGAGCCCTGAAGGTCGATCATTTGCCATCAAACCCATACCACATTATCTTGATGGATTGAGAAAGATAAATTTTCTCCTCGTTTCTTCCCAACATCTTCTGCATTCTCTTAAGCTGGAAGTCACCTGTGAAAGAAAAAAAAACGACATATATGGTGGCCCTGGCAAACATGTAGGTGACATCACATAGCTCAAGCACCTGTGATGCTCTAAGACAAATCCTCAAACTCACCCAGGTCAATCCTGCATCTCTCCAGCAAACCACCAACCCTTATCTCTCTCTGGCCTAATGAGAGAGGGGCTCTGTTATGACAGGGATCCATGACTGACATTTTATTAAACATTTTTTATATTGGATTTGTCTGTGAGAGCCGCCAAAATGATAGCTATTGATACGCAGCAAATAGAACATGGAATGCATGGACTTGTTTTAGGAGAAGAACAAAGTGCTCAGGTAAAGTTACCTTTATTTTTCTGAAGTTGAATGTAAAGACCTGTATTAGCTTAATTATATCCCACTATGGTACTAACAAGAGTTCTGGAAAAACCCCTGACTATTTCACATTGAATTGTATCTGTGGACTTTAATACAATGAAACTTGTCCTTCCAGTCCCATGATGCCATTCGTTGTTTACATTACATTTCTAGGTCCCAAGGGTGACCCTGGTCTCCCTGGTCCACCGGGACTTACAGGGCCTCCTGGACTTAAAGGAAACATTGGTGACATGGGATTTCCTGGTGAGTGATGGAGGGTCATAGTCATTTTGTCCTATTAATATTCACTATCTTTTTTTCTTTGAGACAGTGTCTCATGTACCACAGGCTGCCATCAAACTTGCTGCATAGCTGGGGATGATCTTGAACTTCTAGTCCTCCTGTATATTCCCCCGAAATACTGGAATTATAAGTACTTGACAACATGCAATGTTTATAATGTATTAAAGATTGAACAGCTTTATGCATATGAGGCAAACACTCTACCGACTGACCCCTGACCCAACCCTCATTTTTATGCCTTTTTTTTTAATCAGAAAAGATTAAGTAGAAAGTCTGGGTCTGTATCAAAGTGTTAGTATGTAAAGAGGGCTGGGATTCCTCAGGAGATGGGAGAGGAGGCAGCTAATGTTGATAGAATAAGAGTAAGACACTCTCTAAAATAACCAATGAATAGAACTCTCACTACAAATATGTAAAAGTGACTTAATAAGGGACAGAATTTGAAGAAATGAAAAAGTTAGAATTCACAGACATACCTATTCTCCAGCTTCTTCCCTTCCATTAAAATTTCTTTAGAAATAGGTTGTTATATAAACCTGTGCATGAAACTCACTATGTATACCCAGTTTGCACAAGTTTTTAAAAAGATCTTTTTGCTAAATCACATTCATCTTAGGTTTGCTGTGAATAAAGACTATTTTATTAAATATTTTACATTACATATTTTCAACAGGCCCTCAAGGTGTGGATGGGCCCCCTGGACCTCCTGGAGTTCCTGGACAACCAGGCTCTCCAGGGTTACCTGGCCAGAAAGGAAGTAAAGGAGATCCAGGTGTTTCAGGCATTGGTCTTCCCGGTCTTCCTGGTCCAAAGGTAATGCTATTCTGATCATGCATCTGAGAAGTTGTAGCTTTTCTTGAACTGTGCTTGTTTCTGATTCTTTACTAAACAAACTCCAGAAAGACAAGGCATATTCTGAGCAAAGAATTGTTACTTCAATCTTATCATAGGTTGTGAAGTCAAGCCGGTAACAGGAATGTATTATCTAAGAACCTAGCATAGGTTTTATTCCTAAGTAAAATGGGAAACAAACAGAAAGAATATCATAATTGTACATTATCCATTTTAAAATTGAACCTCTTGATTTCAAAATTGTATACAGAATAGTTATGCTAGTATTTACCTATATAGCATAGACATAGTGTTGGCTTGAATCAGGCTGGTGGCAATGGAAGCGGTAAGAAACGGTCTAATTATGAACATAATTCAAAAGTCAAATCAGAAAGATTTGCTTATGAAATCTGAGAGAAAGAAGGTGTCAAGGATGACCCTGAAGTTTTTGGTTTTGAAATCATGGAGGATAGGAAAGCTTTTGTAAAAAGCAAGTTTGGAGAAAAATATGAAGAATGTACTTTAATAATTGTTATATTTTCTTGCTAAAATGGGAAAGTCATCATAAGACGTAGGGATGATGGAGAGGACTGGAGGCCTGACTTCAAGCCTTCAAAACGGCCTGCTACTTAGGAAACTCTGTAGACCTGGGAACACAGTTCAGTACCTTTTTTCTCAGACAAATTTCCAATTGACTCAATGTCATCGTAAGAAATTCTGTTTCTTACTCACTGATTTAGAATTGTGTTTTTTAAACTTCTTAAATTTGTTCATGTATTTTTTTATAATGGACTAATTTCAACATATAGTAAAGTGAAAACCACCCCTATAAACCATGTCTGAATTTATAATTGAATTTATCAGCGAATGGTTTGAATTGGGAGTTATCTATGGTGTTCTTAAAGCAAGACTATTTTTAGCTTCTTTTATATGTGGCTTATAAGTATACTTCAGTAAGATAACCATATGCATAAGAATGAAGATGACAGAAATTTTATTAGAAAGCCCTAACAGTCCAGTTCAAAAATAAGCAACAGCCTTGAGCAAACCCTTCTCTAAAACTCATATACAAATAGCCAGTAAATACATGAAAAGACATTCCACATCACTCGTCAATACAGAAATGCAAATCAATGACACAATGGGATAATACTTTGTACCCATTAGGCAGATTCCATTAAAAACTATCAAACAGGGCCTTGAGATACAGCTTAGTTGGTAGAATACTTCCCTAACACTTGTGAATGCCTGGATTTCATCTTCAGCATTAACTAGGCATGATGGCACATATGTTATTTTTTATTTATTTATTAAAGATTTCTGCCTCCTCCCTGTCACCACCTCCCATTTCCCTCCCTCTCCCCCAATCAAGTTCCCCTCCCTCATCAACTCGAAGAGCAGTCAGGGTTCCCTGACCTGTGGGAAGTTCAAGGACCACCCACTTCCTTCCAGGTCTAGTAAGGTGAGCATCCAAACTGCCTAGGCTCCCACAAAGCCAGTACGTGCAGTAGGATCGAAACCCAGTGCCATTGTTCTTGACCACAAAGAGAGGCACATACCTTATTAATAATAATAATGAAAGATAGTCATCTCATCAGTCATATTAATTCAAATTTATATTGCGGTGAGATACCACTTCCTACTCAGTAAAGTAGCCACTTCCAAGAAGCTTGGAAAGGATGTAATGAAACTGGAAGCCTTACATGTTGCTGGTGGGAAAGTAAAATGATAGATACAGCTGCAATGAAAAGACATTTCATGATGCCCCAAAAGCTATAACTGTCATATAACCTGGAAGTCTCACTTGTGTGTATACACCCAAAAGAAGTGAGTGTGGATCTCGTCACAGACACTAGTACTTGTATGTGAATGCTCATAGCATCATTATTTATAATGATAACAGTTTGGAACAAATCAAAATGTCTATCAGTGGGTGAATGGCTAAACAAATCATGCTTTATCCATACGATAGACTAGGATATGATAATTAATAGGAAGAAAGCACTGATATAACCTAGATGATTTTCCAAAATTAACCCTAAGTACAATAAGCCAGATCCAAGATACCATATTACATGATTTTATTTATATAAAATGTCCAGAATAGGCGAACTGGCATAAACAGGAGAACGAAATGTAGTTGGAGCCCAGGGTGAGAAATGTGGAATGATTGTTAACAAGTGCAGGTGGGTTTTGTGTGTGGAGGATTAAATTTTCTAAGATTGGATTTTAATGATGGTTGTCCAGTTCTGTGCATGTACTAAGAACACTGATCTGAATGGCTTGTGTGATATGTAAATGATTTCAATAAGTTATACATAAATACTTTGTACTCTGCAGTGGGAAATCTAATGCAAGATTTCTACCTATAAACATAATGTTTTCACTTGTCTTGAAGGTAATTTTTTAATTTCTGGATGCTTTAAGTTCTAGAATCCTTATATTTGATGAACAAATGGATACTTGGTTTTGAAGATATTTAAAATAATTGTAGACCTACATATAATACAGCAATAATATGACATAGTTTAATGTTATAAGTCACATTTTCTTTGATGTTTTTGTGACAATTTGAGCCACTTTTGTCTATGCTAACCTGGTATTTGGAGCAATATTCTTACTAATATTTTCTTAGCTAATTAAAAGATAATATTGAATTCATCATCTTAAGTATAATGCCATGTTTTTGCTGTGTTGATCACCTTTCACATACATGTATTAAACCCTTTGTGGCCCTGTTTGGCCTGGCCAAGCAGCCTGTCACTATTATTTATCAGTTTTCCCTATTAACTACATATTTCCTTGTTGAGAGAGCTAGATACATAGGAAACCTGAAGGACGAATTATATAATCTTTCTCGCTTATTTTGATAAAATGTCGATATTGTTCAGTGTGTTCAGACTTCATTTAAGCATGATGAGTAGGTTCCAGCAATCTGTGGTATATAATACAGTGCATGTGGTTGACATTACCATTCATCTGAAAATGTTCAGAAAATTCATTTTACATTATATGTTATGCCTATTTTGTTTGTTTGTTGGGTTGATTTTTGCTTTGCTTTGTTTTTTATATGCATTTTTACTTTGTCGCTCAGACTGTCCTGAAACTCACCACGTGGCCCAGGGTGGCCTTGAACTCTGTAGTTTATTTCCTTAGCTCTCCCACTGCTGGAATTATAAGCCTGCATCACTACATCTGCTCTTTTAACCATGTTGTTGACACACACACACACACACACACACACACACACACACACACAAAACACACACAACGCACACACATATATGAAGAGGAGAATGAAAATATTATAAGTAACATGGTTTGGATTAGAGTTACATCTTTTTATCCAAACTCATCAACATGTATGCATTTAATATGTACAAATTTTGCATTAATAATATCTAAAGTTTGCCAAAAATACTGTTCAGCCACTTTTTGTTATTTTGTTTTAACTTTGATTGATAATTCTATTCTTGTATATTTATGAGGTACATTTAATTTGTTTATACATTGGGTAGATAGCTCCCCTTAAATTTCTGTGACTTTTATTGTTTAAGAATTTTATGTATGCATATATTTTTATTAAATTCACTCCACTATTTCTTGTCAATTTCATCCGTTATTTAAAAATTAATACTGAGTTTATTTAGTGTGCTTTTTGTGTATGGACAAAGTGCCATATAGCAGAGTCTCAGGTGCTGCATCACTAAAGAAAGCTGACTCTCCAGAGGCCATGAATTGCCAATAGCTCATTTGCATAGGATGGGATGTCATGCCCACTGCCCACATTCCTGGCTGGTATTTTGTTTGGCCTGGTCTTATATAGATCTTGCACGTGATGTCCCAAATGCTAAAGTTTATGTGGACAACTGGGTCCAGAAAGCAATGTTAAATTCCTGGTACTTTTAGCTCTTTTTGAGAAACGTGGAGCTTATTATTTATTATATTCATGAAGCCATGGTATGAAATATGTAAATATATTTTATCTATCTCTGATAAAACCATACTTAGTTAACTAAACCCTCTGCTTGTCTCTTCTGTTTATTTTCTTTCTTTTTTAATAATTTTTTAATACTTATTTATTATGTACAGTGTTCTGTAAATGTGTGTCTTCAGGTCAGAAGAGGGTACCAGATCTCATTATAGATGGTTGTGAGCCACCATGTGCTTGCTGGGAATGGAACTCACAACCTCTGGAAGAGCAGCCAGTGCTCCTAACCTCTGAGTCATCTCTCCAGCCCTCTTCTGTTTATTTTCTATAATCTCTGGTAACCAGCATTTTACTCCTAACTGCTCTGAGAAGTACTTCTCTTTCTCTGCTTTTTTTCACTGAGCATAAGGTGCCCTGGGTCCATCCACATTGTCATAGGTAACATAATTTCATGCAGTTTTGGAGCTTACTATTTGTCTAGTGAACCACATTTTCTTTACCCATTTATCTGTTGCAGGACTCTAAATAAGTTCTACATCCTGGCTATTATGAACAGTGCTACAGTAAGCATAGGAGTGAAGGTGTCTTTTTGACACAGTGATTTTGTTTTCTTTGGTCATATAACTACAAGTGGACATGTTGGATAGCATAGAAGCCCTGTTTTAAAATGTTCATTTAGTTAACTTTCTTTGTCTAAAGTAGAACTAGAACATTTCTTTGTAGTATCCTTCATCCCCATGTGTAGATAGAGTTATAAAATGAATCATCATATAGGGACTACAACTTCCAGCTTATGGGCTGCCATTTTATGTTTAATGTTGCTACTCAGCAGAATATGGGGTTTTTCCTATCCAATCAAACATTTTCAGCTCATTGTTTTTATTTTTTTACCAGTAGCATTGCTTCTTCAATTTTACAGTTTCAAGCAGGAAGGCAAAGATTAGCTTTTCCATTTACTTTGATGCAGTTTATAAAATAAGACAAACTACAAATATATTTTGGAAGTCATAGGTTGTAGCATAAAAGATAAGATGCTTAAGATACAATACAGTCTGACTATTACCAAAATACTTAGCTTGCCAATTTGAATTTTAGCAATAGAACAGATTCTAAATGGTGTTTCTAGTCTACATGGTGTGTGTGATACAACACAGTGACCTTACAGTCAATTCTAGTATCAGTCTTGTTAAAAAGAAAAAAAAATGTACTATGTTTGCAAGATAGTTGCTCAGGAGTAAATTTGGCTCCTTTTGGTTTGATATGCTTTATTTTCAAGAATCTTATCAAAGTTGAGTATGGAATAAATGCAAATATTTGAAACTTCCCTGTATTCAAGTCACTCCTAGCTTTGCTAAAAGTGCAAACAGACTTGAATTTTGCATTCTTGTGGTGATGCATGAGATTCCTGGTCTGATCTTTTTATTTGTCTGAATCAAAAGATTTGTCTAAATTCTCTCCTCTTTACGGTCTGTCTTTTCTGAAACCCATAGTTTCCCTCTGGAAATGTATAAATAATAAAATGTTAAATAAAACTTAAGCTACTAAATTGTAATTCACTTCATAAGTCCTCATAAAATATTTAAAATTTACTTGCCATGTGATTAATAAAAACTGTATTGAGGGACAGAGGTAATACAGCTTAGAGATTGGTATCATTTGTGGAATTTAACATACTTTACTTATCATAAATAATCAGAAATGTGCTGGGTTCCTCAGGTTTGCCCATAACAGAATATTAGAATTTCTTTCTATGTTTTATTTTGTAATATGAATTTAATTCATTCATAAATAATGAAGGCCAGTCTAGGATGAAACTAGGCACTTACCTGGTTTATCTGCATAAACATCTAATGTGGGATGAATTCAAGCCAAGTTGTTATGAGATACCCATTATGTGCCCCCAAATGGGCTATGTGTTTGACTCATAAGCGGTAAGAAAAAAATGCATACATCCTCAGCCCAAGATTCTTAACTATTGAGAAAAAAATGTCAGGAAGTGGGACACTATTTTTAAAACCTAATCGCATGATATAGAAACACACAAGACTTAAACAGCAAGTCTTACTCACACAGGCAAGCCTAAGAAGACATTCTGTAGGTGATATTGAATACGAACATGCTCTTAAAGAGGTCATGTTCCCCATGAGTGGAGAATGAGTACCGTGGGAGACTGTTAGAATTATTGTACACTGTTTTCATCAGTATTGAGGAAAAGTTTTAAAACTATTAAAGTGGGTAGGAATTTTTCTAAGAATATACTGAAAGAAATATAATGTAAATAATTCATTGAGGAAAATAACAATATGTACAGTGCCTATGGCCACAAAGATACTTCGAATGAAATTCAAGAGTTATAATTTGCATATACAAAATTGTTATAGTCAACAAAGAATATGACCCTATCCTTATAGCACATGTGTGTCCACTCTTTTCATATTGTGACATGAAATTGTCATCTATAAAGTTCACGGTCAAGTACTGCACAATGAAGTTCCCAAACGATGCAAAGGTCTTATAATGCTAATGTAATTTTTTTAAAAATAATTGTGTTGCACCACATTCATAGCTCTCTTTGGCTGCATGCAGCCCATGGGCCGTGTAGGCTACTTGTCAAGAATAATGTCATGAAAGAAACAGACTATTAGATAGTCACTGAAGAATTGGTAGATTGTTCATGGTAAGATAAAAATCAACCTTTTTCATTAGAACCTAGTGTAGCTATTGGCTTAAATTGACTTGATTAAGTTATTAAGGATGACAATCTCAAGTTCTGAAGTTAAAATTCAGATTGCATCGCTTGCTAGCTGCATCACTATTGCATGCTGATGATGTTGCCTTTCTAATAGGATTGGCAAGGATTAATGAGATTGATGCATCCATGTAGCACAGGAATAGCATGAGCTCCGGAGTCTGACAGATCTCAGTTCAAATCTTAATTCTACCACTCACTAAAGTTCTTAGGCTCCTGACTTCTCTGAGATTTGCTCTTCACACTTATCAGTGGGAATACCAGGCTGTTGTGATTATTAAGGGAAGTAATTTGTATAAAGCACTTAGCAGAGTTTCTGGCATATAGTAAAAACCCTATAAATAATACTGCATTGATATATCATCAACGTCACAAAGAGACTTTAGTTTTGTCTTTTCATTCATGTTTTCAGGGTGAACCTGGTCAGCCTGGATATCCAGGAAACCCAGGTATCAAAGGTTCTGTGGGAGATATTGGCCTGCCTGGATTACCAGGAAGCCCTGGAGCGAAAGGGCAGCCAGGACTGCCTGGATTCCCAGGTAGGTGTTCTTTTCCTTAGTGTTCCTTCTCCCTTTCCTTTCTTTTCCACCCTAACTAGTATCGGAAGCAACTTCTTATTTCCCAGACTTGCATCCTGTACTGGTTAGCAACACAGTCTCCAAGTAGAACTTTACCTTTCTCTGCCTACCTGCCTTTCTGTATAAATTGAGTAGAAGAGAAAGAGTGCTCATGACTCAGCAGGACAATAGCCTGTGGGCAGAGACACTTGTTTGGTGAAGCATTTTTCAATCTTTCACTGCTAGCCAAAAATCAATTCTGAGGCTTTAGTAGTTTTGCAGGTGATAATATACTCTGCCAGGCTCTGGCCTGCTGCGGATTCTCTTAGAACGGTGGACGCAGACACACAGCTGGTAGCTGTTGGGAGGACAATTACGCTGTTCACTGAGATGACAAGAACTGAGTCAAGCAAAGAGATGTAGCACTATATATAGTGCAGTAGATAGCCTGGCCTAGGTGATTGTATTTGTCATTTCATGCTTCTGCGTAATTTTTAGTTTGGCTTCTGGATTTCACAGTGTTATAGATGAGCCTTTGGTTATGTTTCCTTGACCTTTTAATGGAAGCATTCCTGTCTCTGGAAGAATTTCTACTAGTGTATATACCTATGAATCCACCGCAAACCAAAATCAAAATGGTATTTCCGTTTACGCACACCGCTCTTCATCCTCCCAACACTTCATCATGAGATAACGATTATCATCTCTTCTAGCACCATCAGTTAATTTTGCATGTTACTGAAATTCACATAAGTGGACTCACACTTTATGTATCCCATGGTTTGCCACCTTCCTTATGCTTCCTCATGTTGTGGTGACCCCTACCATAAAATTATTTCCTTGCTGCTTCATAACTGTAATTTTGCTATTGTTATGAATTGCAATATAAATATCTGATATACAGGATATCTAATTTGCAACTCTGGGAGGGGGTCACGACTCACAGGTTGCGAACCACTGTCTTGTATCAGTGTGCATGATTTCTTTGATTAATCATTATGTCCAAGATTCACTAATCAGGTTGCACATGTCAGTTATTTCTTGTCATTGCTGTGTAATAATTGAAAATTTGTTTTACAATCAATTATGTATGCTCTAGTTTACAGACTATTTGGTGTTTATGATTTGAAACTATTATTAAAAATGAAGTTAATATTCCTTTATATATCTTTGATGGAAATATGCTTTGATTTCTCTTAAACAGTTAATATTTGTGCAGGCATTGCGCTTAAAGCTGCCTCCCCTCTGTATTAGTTATGTGGAATGTTAAATTAGTTTGGAACTGTACATTTTTCATGTAGCATGAATCTTTAAACGTTTGTCATAAAATTTGTGCAGTGGACTGGTTGAGCTATTTTCAAGAGGAACTTTAGTGTAACTTTGATTTTATTTTTGAAGACCCAGGGCTTTTCAAAATGGATTGTTGGGAGACTATTTTGAAAATGTGAGAAAAACCAAAGCATCAGCAGCGGCTTATTTGTGATCTTCCCCTCTAGACTTAATAAGGAAGAAAAGGTTATGGATTCATTTCATAAGAGGAATCCTTCTACAGAATTTTTAATGTACTAATTTAAAAATGACTTTTACTTCTTTTCATCTGATTCCTGAAGCCCCGTTACTTGCTAACTCTACAATGGGACTTTTAAAGGTCTTGTGATTTTTTTTCAAGATGTTCATATTTTTATCAAATACCAAGGAGTTATAATTTAACGAGCCATAAATAAAAAATGCTAATACTACCAAATAATTGTTTAAAACTCAAAACTGAGCTATGAATACTGTATATGAACAGAATAGGAAGATGTGAATTCAGTAATCTGAGGAAGAAAGACTAGATACACAGAAAGACAGACAGTCAGACAGATAGAGAGACAGATAGAAAGAATACATATATATATTATATAATATATATGTATATATATATATAGAGAGAGAGAGACTACAACCTTCTTTTGTAATGTGTATGTATGTATGTAGTGTGTATGTATGTATTTTCCCCTATAAACACAAAATGAGGTTGTAGCTTATCTCAGTTTTGAAATACACTGGAACATTTTTTTTAGTACATTGTGCCGTGACTTGGAATATGAGTCTACCCAAACTTCTTCTCAAGAAACTGTAGACACCAGAAGGACCATGCATACACAGGGACCACACATTCTAAGCCTCCCCAAACAATACCACTAACTGGGGATCAAGTTAGTGGTGCCAGAGCCTACGAGGGAGATTCACATTCAAGTCACTACGCTAGTCATTCATTGGATTTTATTAATTGCTGAAAGTTAGCTAGTACTTTACTTCCTATTCAGTTTTTTTTTCTGTTTTGTTGACTTTTATTTATTTATTTATTTATTTGTTTTGTTTTTTGAGACAGGGTTTCTCTGTGGCTTTGGAGCCTGTCCTGGAACTAGCTCTGTAGACCAGGCTGGTCTCGAACTCACAGAGATCCGCCTGCCTCTGCCTCCCTAGTGCTGGGATTAAAGGCGTTTTTGTTGACTTTTAATCCATATCTCTCTACACTATTTTAAATGACTCTTCTAGACATTCCAACACTTTTATTTTCACATACTAAAGCAACATTATACCATTTCATATGTAATATATTATTTTTCAGGGTCTTTGTGACAGTCTTTATGGATTTAATTTTTATGTGCATGATTAATCTTATAATTAATTGCTATTATCACTTTTTAATTGTTGGTGACAGAACACAAGAATTTCTGCATGCTAAGCAAGTGTTCTACCACTGAGATTTTTCTCTAATTTTGTCTGTGTTTTAAGCTGTCTATTAAACTCTAAATAATTTATTGTAGTAAGGAGAACTGACTTTTCCATGTACCTATGTATTTTCAATCTGAATATTTCTACATTGTTTTACATAACAGTTTCATTTGGTATTATTTTCTAGAGCCTGATGTACTTTCAAATATCGTTTATTATGAAGTGACTGCTGGAGACAAATTATCTCACATTTACCTGACAATGCCTTTACTTTACCTTCATTGTAAGAAAACTTTAACTCAGTGGGGGTAGGGTTCTAGAGTTTGAATCCTAGGGCTTTGGCTTGCTTAGGAAACACTGTACACTGAGCCACATTCCTAGCAGCTAGAAATCTTTGACATTTTCCCCCTTCATCACTGAGTATTTTCCACTATATTTTTATTAAAAATTTCTGCCTCCTCCCCGCCTCCCTTTTCCCTCCTCCTCCCTCAACTCCCCACGCACCCCCTCCCCTCGCCCTCCCTCTCCAGTCCGAAGAGCTGTCAGGGTTCCCTGCCCTGTGGAAAGTCCAAGGTCCTCCCCCCTCCGTCCATGTCTAGGAAGGTGAACATCCAAACAGGCTAGGCTCCCACAAAGCCAGTACATGCAGTAGTATCAAAACCCAGTGCCATTGTCCTTGGCTTCTCAGCAGCCCTCATTGTCTGCAATATTCAGAGAGTCCGGTTTTATCCCATGCTTTTTCAGTCACAGTCCAGCTGGCCTTGGTGAGCTCCCAATAGATCACCCCACCGTCTCAGTGGGTGGGTGCCCCCTTCGCAGTCCTGACTTCCTTGCCCATGTTCTCCCTCCTTCTGCTCCTCATTTGGACCTTGGGAGCTCAGTCCAGTGCTCCAATGTGGGTCTCTGTCTCTATCTCCATCCATCACTGCAGTGTTTGCTCTTGTAGCAGACCCCAGGCAAATCACAGAACCTGTACATCGGCTCACAACCATCTGTAAGTCCAGGTCCAGGGCATTGGACAACCTTTTCTGAACTCCAAGGGCAATAGCTATACATGTGGTACACATACATGCAGGCAAAAGCAGTTATATACATAAATAAAATAAGTCAAAAAAGAAAAAAGTTAAGAAATTAATTCTGAAATGGAAAGGGCATGGCATATTTGAAACAATACTGAAAAAGAAAAACCTGCATTGAAAAATACTAGGTTGGTGGGCTAGTACTTCCTGATCTCAAGTGATGCAGTAATTAAGGTAGTATGGTACTTTCATAAGGATTAATAAGTATATTCATATAAAAAAACATAGATAAAGACACATGTTATGCAATAAAATGACCTGAATGAAGGTTCCAAATAAATCCAGTAGGGAAAGTAAAGGCTCTTAGCTAAAGGTTGTTTGGTGTTTTGGTGGTGAGCCTAGCCTTAAACTGCTAAGCCATCCCTTTGGCCCTCCATGATGGTATGTATTCATCCATAAGTGGATATTAGCTATAAAATAAAGGATAACTACGCTGCAACCCAGAGAGAATAGGTAACAAGGAAGGTTCATGGGGGATGCCCAGATCTCCCAGGGAAGGGGAAATAGAAGAGATTTTTTTCAGTGTACTGAGGGTGTGTGGGGACGGAAACATGAGCAATTAGGTTGGGGGTGGAATGGGAGGGTAATGAAAGAGACTACTGGAAAGGGGGGGGCATTCCTGGGTCAGGTAAAAACCCAGGAATCTACAAGGATGACCCCTGCTAAGACTCCTAGAAATAGTGGATACATAGCATGAACTGGCCATCTCACCAGATTGGCCTAGCCCAGTTGTCATCAAAGAGGCTTCATCCAGCAACTGATGGAAACAGATGCAGAGATCACAGCCTAACGTTAAGCGTTAAGCGGAGTTTGGGAAATCCCGCATAAGAGCGGGAGAAAGGATTGTAGGAGCCAGAGTGGTAAGGACGCCACGGAAAGCTCTCACAAATCAGCTAACTGGGGCTCATAAGAGCTCACAGAGATTGAATCAACAACCAGGGAGCCTGCATGGAACTGACCTAGGTACTCTGCATATGTGTTACAGTTATGTGGCTTGGTTCTGTTGTAGGGCTCCTGACAGTGGGAACAGGGCCTATCTCTGACCCTTTTACTAGCTTTTGGGAACCTGTTCCTCATACTGGGTCACCTTGCTCATGAGGAGGTGCTTATAGTCTTATTGTAACTTGATACGTCATGTTCTGTTGATACTCATAGGAGACCTGCCCTTTCCTAAACAGAAACAAAGGAGGCAGGTGTGGATTGGGGGATGGGAACAAAGGGAAGGTGGGGGAAGGACTGAGAGGAGAGGAGGGAGGGAAACTGTAGCCAGGATGTAAATTAAATAAATAAAATTATAAAAGGTACAAAGACAATAACTTCAAATGAAGATAATTGATAGATTTAATTTAAGCAAAATTTAAAACTTTATTCATCAAGGAAGACCCTTAGAAAAATAAGCAAAAAATTTAAAATTGGCATATTGGACAGCCTGAAACCTGACATAAATAACTCCTATAAATTAATAGGAAGAAGTATAACCCAAATTTTAAAAATGAGGAAGACTTTGAAGTGGTAATTTCACAAAGTAATTCATACTGATGGCCAGTTAGCACATGAAAAGGTGACCAATGTCATTAACCATCGAAGTAAACACATTAAAATCACATGGCTAACACTGGGACTGGTTTTTTAATAATTGATATTAAAACATAGATTGACGTAGATCTGGAACAACTGACTTTCATATATGCTGCTGTTTTATGTCTAAAATAGCTTTTTAGGTGTTTTTAAATAATGCACAAAACAAATCTCCGTCTGACCCAGAAATTCCACTCTTTACCATTTACTCAAGATAAAGACATATGTCTACAAAAAAAGCTATGTAAAATGTCCTTAGTTACTTTGTTAATTATACCTGAAACCTGACAGCAAAATCATGTCCAACAACAGATGACTGGATTTAAAAGCAAGTATTGAATGAAGTGCTAAAAATTTTATTACCAATAAAATATTTCTGTAGTTACCTTTATATTTATGAATATATCATAATATTGACGCCTGTCAAATTAATTGAAAATTATCCAGCAATCATCAACATCTTTTGGATTCATTTTGGTCTTTATTATTTCAGTGCTAGTACTCTAAATTTAAGTTTGAATTATAGCTCATAAAGCAATGTGTTTATTTTGTTAATTGTTAAACTGGGCTTTTTATTCTAGGAACCCCAGGGCTTCCTGGACCAAAAGGTATGAGTGGTCCTCCTGGTAACCCTGGCCTCCCAGGAGAGCCTGGTCCTGTAGGTAAGCATGAAAAATGTCATTCTTTAAGACTGTGGTTTTTCATAGTCAGTGTGGGGAGGTCAAATTTTGTTCTACTGTGAGCATTTCCAAGAAAAAGAAATGTGGAGCTCATCTGCTTGTCATTGCATAACTGAATAAATAACTTCTCATTTAAAAATTGCCAAATTGAGCTGGGCGGTGGTGGCACACACCTTTAATCCCAGCACTCAGGAAGCAGAGGCAGGCAGATCTCTGTGAATTCAAGGCCAGCTAGGTCTACAAGAGCTAGTTTCAGGACAGGAACTACCAAAGCTACATAAAAAAACTTGCCTCAAAAAACAAAACTATATTTAAGTAGGCATTTTTGTTTAGGCACACATTTTCCAAGGAGAATAATTCTCTCTAGAAGGGTAAGTTCTAGTAATATTTTTACTTAATAACTTTTAAAGTAAATCCCTTGTCTTCTCTATGCCTATGAAGCACACATTTTCTTTTGAATATTCTGACATAATATTAAAATCATAAAAATGTTTTAGACAATGAGTTATTAGATTATTTCTTATGGTCATCATTTCCTTTTTTTTTAATTCTGGAAGATTTTATGATTTTTGCCAGACAGTCATGATGCACGCCTTTATCTCGGAACTTGAAAGACAGAGGAAGGCAGATTTCTGTGAGTTCGAGGCCAACGTGGTCTACAGAGCTAGTTCCAATACAGCTAGGGCTACACAGAGAAACCTTGTACTGAAAAAAAAATAAAATTTCATGATTTCAAGGAGTAATTCAGAAGCACTTTAATATTTTGGTTTTTTTTCTTGATTATGTGAGTGTGCATTGTAAACTTATGTGCTCAGGAGAATACAGATGTCACGCCACTGGAGCTAGAATCACAGGTGGTTGTGAGCCACTTGGCTTGGGTGTTAGGACTAAAACTCAAGTCCTGTGGAAGAATAGCAAGCTCCCTTAACAGCTGAGCCATCTCTCTAGCCCACATTATTACTTTTTTGTTTGTTTTTTTCTTGGGTTTTTTTTTCCAGACAGGTTTTCTCCATGTAGCCCTTATTGTCATAGAACTCACTTTGTAGACCAAGCTGACCCCAAACTCATAGAGATCCTCCTGCCTCTCTCTCCTGAGTGCTGGGATTAAAGGTGTGCATGCACCACCTCACCTGGTTCTACTTTGTTAGTTTTAGAGAGAATTGTTTGGCACTTTAATATGAAGATGGGGAAGGATGTGGAAGGAAGTTAAAAGGGTCAATATAATTTGTTGTGCTATTGTTTAGGTGGTGGAGGGCCTCCTGGGCCACCAGGACCTCCTGGTGAAAAAGGCAAGCCAGGTCAAGATGGCATTCCTGGACCAGCAGGACAGAAGGGAGAACCAGGTATTATAGCTTTTCATATTTTTCTAATTTTATAATTTTCTCCTGGTCTGCTCTGATTAGTCCTTTCATAGCTACAGGAAAACTCTGTCTTCCTTATTATCTTCTAAGGTATCACACATTTCCCACTTCCAAATTAGTTTCTTCCTTGGCATCCTGAAGATACTAGGTCATGTTTGTTGAACAGGTTGCTTTTCCCTAAAGGAAAAAAAAGTTTTAAATGTTGTCCATTTGCTTTTCCAACAAGAACTGACCCAGAAATTTTTAAATTTCTCTTTCTTTGTTCAATCTGTACTTTATTTATGTATTTTGATTTAAGTATACAAAGTATGTCTGTCAGTCACAAGAAGCAGAGTGTGCGTGTATGTGGTTTTCATTTTTTCAAAATGCCTGGGGATTGACTTCAGGTCATCAGTCTTGGTGGCAAGTGCCTTTACCTCCTGAGCCATCTTGCCAGCTCTGTAGTTTTTCCTTTATAGTGCAACTAGCAAATATCAAGTGACAATATAGAGTGATAACTTAAAGAGTAAGCCTATACCCGTGTCCAAAAATGTTCATCTGTTTTTTCTATATGTCTGAGTGCTTTGCCTGCATATATGTATATGTACCATGTTGTAGAAGGAGCTGCAGGCTGCGTTCCTGCCACCCATCTCCCAGCCGCCTGGCTAGCTTATGCCCCAAAATAACAACACAAACTGTATTCTTTTAAACACTGCCTGGCCCATTATATCTAGCCTCTTCATGGCTAACTCTCATATCTTGCTTAACTCATATTTAGTAATCTGTGTAGCACTATGAGGTGGTGTCTTACCAGGAAGATTCTAGTGTATGTTCATCTTGGGCTGGAGCTTCATGGCGTCTGACCTAGAGAGGAGAGGCATGGCATCTGCCTCACTTCCTCCCAGCGTTCCGTTCTGTCTACTCCATGCACCTAAGGGCTGGCCTTTCAAATGAGCCAAGGCAGTTTCTTTATTAACCAATGACCTCCCTCCATCACCATGTGCATGCCTTTCTGTCCTTAGAGGACAGAAGAAGGTGCTAAATCTCCTAGGAGTTACAGATAGTTGTGAACTGCTGTTGTGTGGATTGGGAGAACCAAATTCAGTTTCTCTTCAAGAGCAACAAGTTCTCTTAACTGCTAAGCTGAGACTCTATAGTTTTCTTACGTTAGAATTGTTCTATGTTAGAAGTCCGTCTTCAGGGGCTAGGCATGTAACTCAGTGGTAAAGCATGTTCCTAACATGCAGCCTCTAGGTTCTGTCTGTAGCACAAGAAAAGAAGGGGTGGGAAGGACAGAAGAAAAGGAAGGGAGTGAAAGAAAGGTGATCAGGAGAGAGGAAATTTTAAAAAATTAATTTTCAGCATGTTTGATATACATAACACATATTAGAAACCTCAACAATAAATTACCTATTTGAAATTATTTCTATTTTGTACCCTAACAGGTCAACCAGGCTTTGGAATCCCAGGACCTCCTGGACTCCCAGGACTTTCTGGTATACCTTGAAAAAACAAGTAATATCTTCCTGTAAAATGAAAATATTCCCCAGTCCATTTATTTTTCTGTCTCTACCATTTACTATTATAAAATGCATCTGAATATTCAAAAAAACCTAAAGCTCAATTTTCCTTTATAATATTTCTCAATGCTACTTAATATGAAGTGTTGTGTTAACAAAAATAACATCCTTATGGAAAATTCAATAAGTAGCCTTTCATTCCTGTCATAAATGCTGAGGACGAAATATAGAAAAAAGATGAAAACTGTAGGAAATTTAGAAGCTTCCATTTATTCAGAAACCCACTTTTTTCTCTCTGTAAAAACAGTATCGGAGTAACATATAAGAGATTTCCATAGAAATATGTACCAATAATAGAAATGATTCTTGAAAACTCATCTAAGAGTTAAGCATGGTGACCTATATCTGAGGCTGAGGCAAGAGGATAGTACATTGTATTTCACCCTTGAATATCTAGATTTCCAGTCAGCCTGAGCTGGCATTATTTCTACATGGCAAGAACTGAGGTGGGGGAGGGAATATGTATGTTTGGATACATGTCTGTCTTCTTTCTCCAAATGTAATCTTAAAATAAGTGCTAAATAGTTAACATAAATTTGAATAATTGCAGATTTGTATGTTGATATTCATAAAAGCTTTTCTCACACTAAAATTATATCTCCTAGAAATTTTAGTATTCTTTTCATGAAAAGTGCTGCTTTAATTTGCTACTGTTTTATGGCTCTTAAGTATTTGTGTTTTATAATAAATGTCAAGAGCAGATTGTCTAGATTGTGATTATAAACCCTTAATATCTTGGTCTGAATATAATAGCAGCCATTGAATTTCATTACACTCAAAATTAGACCCAAAGTGTTAAACAGTTTTTGTATTCATCTTGAACCAATTCTTGAAGATACTTAATGCTTTTTATATCTTGTCTGTCTTATTTTGCTCATAACTAATGGTCATGTGATCATTGTTCTATGTCCTAATACAAAGGATACCTTTTAGGATGCTGTCATTATTTCTGCATTGCTAATAAGTACTTCTGGTGACAGATACATGGTTTTAATATAGAGAATATATTTTGCATGTGTTTGAAATTAGTGAATTTCATTTGCTTATCAAATATATGACTTAAAGACCATCTTATTCTTCAGCATTTAATATTGTTTACTATATCACTAATTTTATTTCTACAGGTCAAAAGGGTGATGGAGGATTACTTGGCATTCCAGGAAATCCTGGTCTTCCAGGTTCAAAGGGTGAACCAGGCTTTCAGGGATTCCCTGGTATGCCAGGTCCCCCAGGTCCTCCTGGTTCTCCTGGTCCGGCTTTGGAAGGTCCAAAAGGAACCCCTGGGCCTCAAGGCCCTCCTGGGAGACCAGGTATGATCATGTGTGGTACAGAAAATGGTCTGTTTACCAGTTTGTGTAGTTCATTTTGCTGCCAGGTTATTCTGATTTTAGGGTTTTAGAATTTGTCACATGGGAACTCCTTATAAGAAAAGAGCTTGGTTCATACCTAGCTCATTCTACTATACATGTTCTTTTCAGTAATGCATATATTATTTACTCAAAATTCCAGTATAACAAAACAACTTGAATGAAAAACAGCAAAAATGCTGGTTATGTTAGTATTGTTATTAATGATAAAAGTATACAATTAACCTGGCATCAAAATGCAATCTGCATTTTGTAATGTAAGCTTCTCAGCATGTCGTCACAGAAATCATTCTAGTGATCACCAAATACATGCTTGTGTTCCATACCAGAAGCTGTTGCTATGGTTCTGTCACATGATCAGCGGATATCACGAGGCACAATAGAAAACTTGATCTCTAAGAACTGGGCAATCAAATTTATCTTCAGCTTCACAGCATGATCAGTTTGATAATCTCTTCATACCTCATTCTATACCTCGCCTTTCCTCTGCCCACTCTTTAATCCATCCATCTTGCAACCACGGTTCACAGTTTCATTTCGTGTCTGTGCTATGTCCTTCCATTCTACTAATTGGGAAATGTTCATTTTCACCCCAGGTTAACGCTGCTGAGCCCAATTGCTGGTGATAGGTTATTAGGAGATTTAAGGGGCTTTTATATTCACTTTTTTCTAGTAGCTGAGAATTTGGCCGTCTTTTTTTTTAAAGAAGAGAAATTTGAGATAGAAAGAAATCAAGCAATTGTCCTTTTGATGTTTGAAAGTTCTTAATTCTTTTTTAAAGTGTACCTTAAAATGGAAAATTACATTTAAATTACAATAAAATTGTGAGTTAGTTGGACTTGATTTCACTGACATGTGCCCAAAAACCATGAATTAAACATTATGTACTGGATTCAGAGCACCGTTTTCAAAGTCAGACAGATTTAATGTGAGTTGGCTTGACTGTTCCTAGACGGTGTTGCTTTTCCTTTGCTTACTACTAAAGAAAGCCAGCAAAAAATTCTCAGCCACATTAACTGTCTTGCATGCAATATAACTGAAGCCAGTATCTTGCTTTGTTTGTATGTCATTATTCAAATAAATCAAATATTGTCCTTTTTCATTCTACTTAACACTGTGGTAATTTGTTACTAGGAATGGAGCTCTCTGATGGACATTCCTTTAAAATAATAACAGAAAAGCAGTCCTCAGAAACATGCTTTTGCAATAACTATTTTAAAAGAACAATCAAAGTTTTTAGAAGAATGCATACCTAATGAGTGATTTCTTGATTTATTTATGAACTACAGATCCAAAATAAATTTTTAAGCCAGTTTCTCTTAGAATTGAATGTTGAGCCTACCTTGTAATAATGAACATCATTTTTGAACTTTTAAACTATAGTGTGTGTACAATGTACAATTTTCACTTTAGCATTAATATTAAATGGAGACAATTTGGTTTATATATGACTTTCAGAGTGTTCTATTATTAAATTCAACTTTAACTTGAAAGTATATAGTATAATGCTTTAGTTTCTTGATGTTTCTAACAGTTTTGATATTTTCCTTTTTGTTAATGATGACATTGGGCCTTGGTGAACTTCCGTCTCTACCCAGGTCCTCCAGGTTAGCTCCTTAACTCCAAAGTAGTAACTGCATGGATTGGGAAATTTTACCTATGTATTTTTGTACATATATTATGCATGTGTATATATACATGTATGTCCCTGTTTGTATTTATACCTAATGTTTTTACGTTTTTAAATAGATTTTAAGAACATATGCCAATTCAATTTTTAAATGGTGGCTTGGACCTAAGTTGTGAGGAAATTGTGGATACTAAGTATTTCTCTCAGAATGGCTCCACATTATCTAGTTAGGAAAATGAGCTAAATTAAATGCCTCAAAATTCATACATCTGGGCCATTTTAATTGAAATTTTATAGTACTCAATTTTGTCAAAAAGGCTTTTCTTTTTGTAGACTATATTTTTTATTGTTTCCTTATAAACTTGTAATGCAATGAAGCTAAACTTATTCAAAAAGGCATTTAAAAAATAATATGGATTATCGTATCGTGCAGATAATATAATCCTTGATTGCCTAAACACACACACACACACACACACACACACACACACACACACAGAGAGAGAGAGAGAGAGAGAGAGAGAGAGAGAGAGAGACTTTTATAAGGTTTCGAACATCTTCACATTTTGACTTGTCACATATTTCTAAATATTTGTTTTTTGTTTTTTTTTTTTGGTTTTTTTGAGACAGGGTTTCTCTGTGGCTTTGGAGCCTGTCCTGGAACTAGCTCTGTAGACCAGGCTGGTCTCGAACTCACAGAGATCCGCCTGCCTCTGCCTCCCGAGTGCTGGGATTAAAGGCGTGCGCCACCATCTCCCGGCTTAAATATTTGTTTTTATTTTGATTTATGAACACATTTGTGTATTCCTGTGTGGGAATGTGCACACACATGTCTTTTTCTTATTTTTAGGAAGGAAGTGAAGTGGAGATAAAGTTCAGGTACCCACTAAGGCCAGAGGCATATAACTCCCCTGGAGCTGAAGTTGTGAGCTGCCTAATATGGGTACTGAGAACTGAACTTGGGTCCTCTGCAATGTGTGCTCTTAATAGCTGAGCCATCTTTCAATCCCTTGTCACATATTTTAAATTGCACTGCTGTGAAGAAGTGGTACGCATAAATAAAAAAACCTCAATGCCACCAGCACAGAATAAAGGCTCGCAATAATATACATGTTCATCACCCAATACGCAAACAAATTTGTCAAAGTTAGCTAGACATTGTGGTGCATGCCTTTAATCCCAGCACTTGGAAGGCAGATACAGGTAGATCTCTGTGAGTTCAAGGCCGGCCTAGTCTACAATGTGAGTTCCAGGACAGCCAGAGCTACACAGGGAAACTCGGTCTCAAAGCAAACAAACAGACAAAAAACAAGCCCATGTTCACCTTCCTAGATATGGACGGAGGGGGGAGGACCTAGGACTTAACACAGGGCAGGGAACCCGGACTGCTCTGTAGACTGGAGAGGGAGGGGGAGAGGAGTGGGGGGAGGGGGAGAAGGGTGGGAGGAGGGGGAGAAGGGTGGGAGGTAGGGGAGAAGGGTGGGAGGAGGGGAAGGGAAATGGGAGGCTGGGAGGAGGTGGAAACTTGTTTTTTGTTTATGTTTTTTTTTCTTCTTTTCGCAATAATAAAAAAAAAAGAAGAGAACCTAAAATTGGAAAATGTAATTTTCTCTTTCGGATAAAATTGTCTCATAAGTTCAAACATGCATAAATATGTTTTACTTTTAACATAAGTTAAAAAATAAACCATTGAGATACCAAAAAGGAAAAAAAAAAAACAAGCCCAAAAGCAAGCAAACAAAAATACAGTAAAGAAAAATTACCAAAAGCCACCCAATGGAGAAAAAAACCTGTGGATTTCTAATTTTTTTAATGTGTACCTACTCTGGAATGAAAAATTAGCCCTGGATATTTCAATGTATTTATTATTTTTTTAAATTAAACCGGCATTTTGTCATTTTTAGAAAGGAAGTAAAGTGGAGATAAAGTATCATCCTGATGTCTAGCTTTTGAGAATGGGAAATCTTTTTTTTTCAAATGAACTAAAAACTCAGTTTGTGGGGGAAGCCATGAATCTCTATGAAAATTTGATTATTCCCATACCAACCCATGCATACGTACATTTGTTCATACATAGACACACATGCACAAAATATTTTATGTAAAAGAATTTATTTACTAGGAATGCTTTATTGTTTTTATTGAGCTATATATTTTTCTCCACTCCCCCTTCTTTCTCTCCCCTCCCCTTCTACCCTCTCCCATGATGCCCACACTCCCAATTTACTCAGGAGATCTTGTCATTTTCTACTTCCCATGTAGATTAGATCTATCTATGTCTCTCTTAGGGTCCTCATTGTTGTCCTGGTTCTCTGGGATTGTAAATTGTAGGATGTTTTTACTTTGCTTTATATCTAAAAGCCATTTATGAGTGAGTACATATGATATTTGTCTTTCTGGGTCTGGGTTACCTTACTCAATATGATGTTTTTTAGATCCATCCATTTGCCCACAAATTTCAAGATGTTGTTATTTTTTTTTCTATTGTGTACTACTCCATTGCATAAATGTACCACTTTTTCCTAATCCATTCTTCGGTGGAGGGGCGTTTAGGTTGTTTCCAGGTTTGAGCTATTACAAACAATGCTGCTATGAACGTAGTTGAGCACATGTCTTTGTGGCAAAATTGAGCATCCTTTGGATATATACCCAAAAGTGGTATTGCTGGGTCTTGAGGTAGGTTGTTTCCTAATTTTCTGAGAAATCGTCATACTGATTTCCAAAGCAGTTGTACCAGCTTGCATTCCCACCAGTGATGGAGGAATGTTCTCTTTACCCCACACCCTCTCCAGCATAAGTTGACTCTATAATTTAACATCAGCAATCACCACCTTATATATAAGACTATGGTTTTATATATGGTTTCTTTTTCAGTTAAATTTAATTAAGTGATTTGAAGAACAGTGGATCAAGGCCTCATACATAAAATTGACTTGGCATATGACTCATTAAAATGTAGCCTTTTAGAAAATAAAGTCTTAGAAGTTTTGCTATTATGTGGTCCAAAGATCCCCGTGCTGATGAACTATTAAGATGTCTTACATCAATAAGATATCTTTCTGAGTATTCTTATTATCAGGTTCTTCTACATCAAATATGCATATAAAATATCTTTACTTTGAATTATACTAAGTGACAATTCTAATCTAGGTATTTGGACTATAAGTCATCGGTTAAGTTGTTATATGTAGTTTGGAGACTATTTAAATAAATAGAAATGCATTTTTCTAAATTTCAAATTCTCAAATGATTTTAAAGTTCTGGTTTTAATCATCATTGTTTTCTTTTAGCATCTTGCACATGTCGGACAGTAGTTTTATATTTCAAAATTAACTTTGATCCTTATGTAAACCTGTAAGGAGGATAGTGTATGCAACACTATTCTTGTTACATTCAGAGACTGAACTGTCCAGAGTAATTTTGTAACTAAATAGCAGAGTCAAGAGGAAGTTCCAAGGTGTTTTAACACCTGGGACTCAGTGGTCTAGCACAATTTATTCTCTCTAATATTCAATGTTTATCAATCATAGCAAGAACTCTAAGAAAAAAGAAACCATGTTTATAGTCAATTAACACTAACCAGAGTGTTCTTTTGTAGACTTTAGTATTTTTATGTAATGATCTCCCTTTTAAATGGTGAATAGTCTGATAATATGTACATTAAGTAATACTTTTTTAAAGCTGTTGTCATACTTTAAATGGCTTGGGGTGGGGTATTGCATGCTAGAATATCTTAAAGTACCCCTTCACTAATAGTCTTCATATCATTGGAAAATTCAGATATTTGTTTTTATGTTCAAATGCTTAAGTACTTATTACAAGTACTAATTTATAAAAGAAGGCCTCTTGATTTATTATAAAAAGTTAAAATGTGAATTTATGAAACGGTATTTGAATAAGACAAAAGTACAATTAACAATGGTGTTCCCTGGTTTTTATTTTTCCACTGAGTCACAAGTGAGCTTTGTAATCAAATTTTTGCCTGTGATGTTTTGAAAGTTAACTGTTATCATATTGGGTCACTCTGAACATCCAAATAAGTGCTCATTTCACGTTTTTATTAAAGGATGGCAGAGCTAAGATATGCCTAAATATTTATTCACAGTTACCTATTTGTTAAAGGAGAAAAAATGAAGGCTCTTGGTGAAATGGTACTATCTTGCCAACTTGAATGTTTTCAGAAGCTTAACTTTTAGAAATGCATAGTAGTATAATAATGTTAACATCGTCTCTTAAATAGAGCCCCCCATTAAATTAGTGACCAACAGCTTATTCTCTAGAATAAGCTCTATGTGAAAAAGATTTTGTTCTCTCTATTTCTGAATGGGTCTGTTTGCATATTGATTGTGATGTAGGTATAAGAAATGCTGACAAAGGGGATTGTTTTTAACTTGTTCCATAATGTGAACCACCTCTAACTCATAATCTTATTTTGTACTGTGTGGTGTCTGACACTGCTAACATCGATCTTTGGGCTTTGGTGAACTCTGATCTTCCCAGGTTTCCAAGGTTAGACTCTTCACTGGTCAGTTATCTCTCTTTTTTTAAATACTTTATATATGTGGTAAGAGAAACGCACTTTATTGCTGTAATTCAGAAATCATTGAAAAGTGATGTTATCCTTAAATACTACCCTATTGGGTCTCAGCATTTTGGAGAAGGTAATATGATGTATTTACTGTTGAGTTTGGAATAATATCAGATCTTTGTGATTAGATTGTTTGTAATAGATTCTTTTATGTAAATAAATCGTGAGTTTTAATTAGATATGCAAACACATTCACATTGTAAACTGCAAGATATTTATTTAAGCAAGTATCTACATAATTTCCAATACCTGCATATGGACTTTATGTTTTTATAATTCTTTTTGTCCAGAATTGCTCTGAGTTGTGTGTTCAAGGCTGTTTACAATAATAGAGGAAGGAAGCTATTGTGTACAGTTAAAATTAAATTTCTATGTCCTTACTATATCATTAACTTAATTTTTGGAGACAGTACAAGTGCCAGGTCTGAAATGACATAAAATTCCTGGTATTTTATTTTAGTTGAGAAAAGCGTAGTGCCTCTTCATCAAATGATGCAGTCGTCTAGAAACTCCAGAGAGGTGGCAGTCAGGTGTTCAGTTTTCCCATCTGAAATTTTTACTCATCATTGTCATTAGGTTTTCAGAGCTCATTTAGTGTTTACTTAACAGCCCAATTTTCTACCAGACTTCTAGTCTAAATTGGGCAAATTACCATGTTGGTTTAGAAAACCTTATTCGAGTGTATTTGAGCTAAGCAGATGTGGTTTTCTTTTCTAAATACAAAGTACCCCCAAACCTTTCTTTAGAAGGGGGAAAGGCACTTTTGTGATTGTGGTGTCTGCATGCCAAGATAAGGTAATTGTGTGACTTAAGTTTTCTAAATGTGAAAATTAATTACTGTTTTATCATGAACTTGCTTCCTCTTTGTCATAGTCAGATAAATGACGCATTATGAAATCACTTGAAAATCCTTAAAATGTTAAAAAAAACTTGTAAGATTCATTCTTCTCTTTGATTTTACTATGAATAATGTAATAGCAATCATAACTATCTAAATATCAACATTTCGTGGTCCTTACTATTTGATAGGCACTGAACTAAGTAATTTTTACCTGCTATTTCGTTTAATCTTTCCCAATATCGGGTGAAAGCTAAGGCTATTTTTTTTGTTTCTATTTCATAGAAGAAATTGAAGCTGAAAGGATTAATAATCTTGTTAAGATCAAAGAGCTAATTATTGATGGAGCTGGATTTGAACCCAGCATTGTAATTTCTGAATCCAGTTTTTCATAATTATCACTGTGGTAGTCTTTCTCACCAGTATAGACCCTTTCCTTTGCAGTAGTGAAAATTAGGGAAGGTGATTAAAGTTTGAGTTTAATCTCATGTCAAATTAGACCCTTTGTCCATGGGTAAACTCCATCTCACTGTTCTAAATTCATACATGATTCATTTTAAAACTTTACCTGAATAATTTTTGTTAGAATCAATTTTAAAAATTGAGACAACCGCAGGACAAAAGATAAACATGCTCACTTTGTTAGGGCTTTGTAATTATTTTCTTAAGGAAAGACTAAATAGTCTCAGTCTCAGCTACTAAACACTCTCCAGATGTGTAACATTTATTCCCTACCTTCCTACAAAAGGCTTATGCAGTGATCCAAACACCTGGTTGCTTAACAGAACTGATAGCCTTATTTAGAATGGTACATTAAAAATATAGTGCATTTTTTAAAGATTAGAAAAAACATGAAAATATTTTGAAATAAATCTTATACATACTATACTGAAACAATAAATATCTGACATTTAAAACACATTCCATGTGTCAAATGTGTCACTACAATGAGCTTAAAGTTAGTGTGATTAAGTGTCATTTGCTTAAGAAGTCATTTTTCAGGAGCTAGATGCTTACCTAGCATACATAAAGCCATATTCTTGATCCGCCACACTACAAAATTTTCATAGTAATAAAAGTTGAATGAATATAGCTTCTTATGAATAAAGGAATTGAACTTTTTGTTATACTGAAATCAAACCCAGGACCTAGTCCAACGCTACATCCACATCCCTAAATAATTTAATTTTCATTGCACAAGAGAAATGGCATGAATTCCTGATCGCTTTCTAGCAGTCATTCTGTAAGTGCTGGTCCTGAGGCCAGCAGCTTCCCTTGCTGCAGGGCATCTGTGAGGACTACAGAAGCAAATACTATCATATCCAGAGTTGCTTTAGATCTGAGTTGGTAAAGTATTTGCCTAGTATGCACGAAACCTTCCATTCAATCCCCAGGATGCCTCACAGTAGACTTGGTGGTGCATCCCTATAATCCCAGAGTTTGGGAGGTGGAGGCAGACAGATGAGCAGTTCAAGGTCATTCTTGGCTGCATAGTGAGTTTAAGGACAATCTGAGATACCTGAGATGCTGATCCAGAAAAGTATGTAAACTTGAAAAGTCCACAAAACGGCATTAATAATGAAAAGAACCCACGTTTACACTAGGAAATTACTCAGTCTGCATCTCTGTATTTTATCCTGCAAATACAAAGATAACTGATATTTTAAAAGTCTGACATACTGTACTCAAATGTGGCCATTTGTTGTGCATTATCAGGTCTACCAGGTTCAGAAGGCCCCCGTGGTCCCCCTGGAAATGGAGCTATTAAAGGAGAGAGGGGAAACCCAGGCCCACCTGGGCAACCCGGCTTACCTGGTTTGAAAGGAGATCAAGGACCACCAGGACTCCCGGTAGGAAATGGGCCTAGATAGTTGATGAAAGAAGAGTGTGTGAGAGAGCTTTCAAAATGGGAATTCTGAGCTGCAGAATTTTATTAATACTCACTATGGGGCTCACTGGTGAAGTAAAAATAAAAGAGAAGGCAAGGCCCCTAGTCTTCCCACTAAAGTGTCTTTGCTGTTTTTTAGAAAGGGGGTTTTGGTGAAAGCAAACCTGTGAAAAGGAAATTTACATGTACACATCAGTGCATTGCATTTGGATGAATACACCCATAGGGAAGTAATCATGGTGAGTGGGCATAGTTTAGATGTTGAAATCAGAATGAGGGTCAGGTTTGAGTTCCACTACATGGTTTTGCTTCGCATCTATGAAAAGAAGAGACACCCCAGTTCTCTCTCTTTGCCTATAAAGAGAATAACATGTACAGTTACTCCTGTGTTTTCTCTCTTGTTTGAATAATCCAGAGAGTCAGAAACTTTTACTCATTTCATTCAAGCAGATTCCTGGTAGACAGCCTATTCTTTCTGGTCTGTCTTCTAACTGTGAAACCCTCCTTATAGTAGAAATCATTATTCTTAACATGTTTCCAGTATCTTATTTTTTCCATACCACCATTCTTCTTCTAGCTACCTAGATTTAAACATTTAAAAGCCACAAAGTAGTAACAGGCAGAGTTAGAATCTGAATCCTTCAAGTGTAACTGGAAATACAGTTCTCTAAGCCACTGTGCAACATTTGAATCTTCATTCCTCTTCTCTATCCCTTCCTTGTTATTTTTCTAACACCAATGATTGTTACTTATTTAGGGTAATCCTGGCCGGCCAGGTCTCAATGGAATGAAAGGAGATCCTGGTCTCCCTGGTGTTCCAGGATTCCCAGGTATTTGAAAGGATGTTTTAAGGTTTACCTTTATATTTCTAAAGTATTTTTATTTATTCTTGGGACTTTTCATATATTCAATATATTGTTATCATATCCACCCCCATTGCCTTCCTCCAGCTCACCCAAGTTCATGTTCTCTTCTATTGTTACTATTATTATTATTATCATTCTTAACACACTAAGTTCAACTAGTGCTGACTATATTAAGCTCCTTTGGTAAAATCAATTTTTTTCTCATTTTCCTGTGTAAAGGTTGTCTTGTTGCTTTTTCCATCTGATTTTATTTTATGTATTATATTTCAAGGAATGAAAGGGCCCATTGGAATACCAGGCTCAACTGGCCCTGATGGGGAACCAGGCCTTACCGGGCCCCCAGGTAAGGATTTTTCTTCTCCTAAGGCTGTTTATGCATGTTACTTAGAAACATGAAAGGCTTTTGAAAGTCCTATTCTGTCTTTCCAAACTATCAACATAATTTCCTAATTTCTTAAAATCTTTAATTATGTTATATTGATAACCAGCCTATCAAATTTAAGATAGATTCAGTATCAGCAAGAAAGTCTTAAGATTTTATTATTTATGCTAATATTACCATATTCAATTGACCAGATTATAAGAACAAGTTGCTTCTGTACATTTGTATATTTTTAAATTAAAAGTTTTATGCTAATGGAGTTAAAGAGATTTTTTCATAAACCATAAAAGAGGATATCTGTTGATTGTTTCAGTAACTGTCTTAAACAACAAAGAACTGTACATAATGCAGAATCAGATGGGGCTTGTCAGGGAGTGGGGCTGTCATCCCTGACAGAGAGGCATGAAAGTTCTATTGTTTTTCACCAACGCTAAGAAATATATTTAGTTTTTAAACATCACTTAGAAATATTCAATTAGTTTTTTCTTTTGAGAGTTTGGACATGTTTTGATCACAATTACTTATTTTCTCCCAATTCATCTTAGACCTAGCCTCTTCTCTACACGCCCAACATTAAAAAACAATAAACCACAACGATAACATTTTAAAAGTCCAATTTGTGCTGCCCAGATATTCTTGGACATATGGCCTTTCACTGGAACATAGCCAACTTACCTAGTACTACACTCTTCGAGAAAATGTATTTGCTCTCTATCAGTAGCTAACAATGGCCAGTAGCTCCTTAGTGACGGTGGGAACTTGTGCCCAATTCCCCTCTCCATGCTGGGAGTTGGGCTCACAAAGTCTCGTGCATGCCATCCCAACTACTATGAGTTCATATGTGCAACTTCTCTGTTGTCCTTGTAATCATCTACCACCGCTAGCTTTTACACTCTTTCTGGGCCTCCTCTTGCACAACGTTGAAAGCACTTCCTGAGTTTTGGAAGTGCAGATGCATTTTGAGTGTGGGTGTGTGTGTGTTTATGACTGAGTGTTCTTCAGTCTCTTATTCTATGTCCTTCATCAGTTTCGGACCTCTGTATCACTGTGTTGATTAACATCTGCTGCAAATAGAACTTCCTCTGACGAAGGTTGAGAAATTAATTCATCTATGGGTATAATGGTAAATCGTTAGTCGTCAGTTTAATACTATGCCTATTTAGCAGAGTAATAGTAGTATATTCTTGCTTGAAGCCTACGACCTGTCTAACCATAGATTCTTGACCTAATAATGGTGCCAGGTATAGGATTCATCTTGTGAGCAGCACTTGAACTCACTGAGAAAGTGGTTGATTACCCCTATGATGTTTTTGTCACGGTTGCACCAGTACACATGTTTTGCTAGGCTAGTCATTATTGTAGATAATAAGGTTCCTAGCTGGGTATGATTTTTGATTACTTTTCTCCTCTGATAACGTGCCTAGCCCCATCCAACAGTAGGAAAGCTAGCCAGTAGAGATGAAGCTTCCAGGTCAGTACTAAGCTTGATTTCTGCAAATTCTTTGACTCAAGTCAGTGGTGTCTTCAGCAATGGGGGTCTTACCATCAAATTCCGAGTAACCAAGAGCCAGTAATGTCTGGAGTAGTCTATGGGACCTTACTGCCCAACAATTTCAAAAGAAGTAACTTAGTCCTGGCAGTGGGCTTTTCATTTGTTAGCCTGTAGTATCTTCAGGGATATCATTGCTACCTACTACTCTGCAATAGGAGGTTTCCATGTGATATTTTCAAAATTTCTTAATGTTATTTATCCATCCCCATTGTCCCTCCTCTACCCTGCACTCCCTTTCCCCACCCCAATTTAACACTTGACATTCCTTTATTCCCATTGAACCTTTAGTAACAGTGTTTTCTGTCTTTCCTCCTCAGAAATCTTCTCTCCATGCTCCCTTAGTATTTTCTTGACCTCTATGAGTACTTATCTGATGACTCAAAGCTAACATCCACAAATTAGAGAAAACAAGTGATGTTTGCCTTGCTGTTTATGGATTACCTACTTAGAATTATTGTTCCCAGCCTCATGCATTTACCTACAAATTTCATGTTATAATTTTTCTTAATATTTGAAAAATGTTTCATTGTGTAAATAAATCACATTTTCATTATTATTTCATCAGTTGTTTAATATCTAGGCTGTTTTCATTTTCTGGTTATTGTGAAGAGAGCAGCAATAAACATGGATGAGTAAATATCTCCTTTGCTTATATACTCAAAAGTAATAAAGCTGGATCGTATGTAGGTCTATTTCCAGCTTTCTGAAGAACTTTCACACTGATTTCCATAGTGGCTACACAAGGATGTATTCCTACTATCAGGGAACAAATGTTCCTCTTTTTCTCCATCCATGCCATCATTTGTCATTTTTTTTATTTTGTTATTTGGTTGTTTGTTTGTGTATACTGTATGTGTGTGTATGTGTTTTGTTTGTATTCTAGACATTATGACTGGGTAAGATGACATCTCAAAGTAATTTTAATTTGCATTTCCCTGATGGATGAAGCATTTTGAAATGATTCTTAGTCACTTGTATCCTGTTCTTAGTGCATATATGGTTAGGATCACAAAATCCTGTTGTTGGATTTTTCCTTTAATGAGTATAAAGTTTTACTCCTTATCTCTTCTGATTAGTTTTGGTTTTAAATCTATTTCATCAGATATTAGAATAGCTACCTTATGTTTAAATTTAAATTCATTTTATTATAATATATTTTTCCATCCCTAAGATGGTATTTATCGTTGGTCATTATGTATGTTTCTTGAAGGCAACAAAAAAAAGAGAGATCTTGTTTTCTGATGCAATCTGTTAATCTGTGTCACTTTATTAGAGAGTTAAGAACAGTTGGATGGAGTTGGCAAAGATAGATAGAGTTGGCAGCTGGAACTAGGCTTTCTGCCTAGAGATGAGGGGAAGAAGGGTTCTCAGCATGGGAAGATGGAGTTACTGTGTGAGTCTGGAGTTTTCCTCCTGGTGAGGACTCCTGGAACTTATCAGAGGGCTGACATGGCTAGTTTTGATTTTCTTGATGAAGTAATTGCAGTTTCCCCAAATAAACTTCTGTTTGATGTGGCAGTTGTTACAGCAGTTAAATACTTTTCTCTTGTTTGTTTGTCATAAAAATATATCTGGTGAGGGCTGGAGAGATGGCTCAGAGGTTAAGAACACTGCCTGATCTTCCAAAGGCCCTGAGTTCAATTCCCAGCACCCACATATTGGCTCACAACGTTCTATAATGAGATCTGTACCCTCTTCTGGCCTGAAGTCATACATACAGGCAGAACACTGTATACACAATAAACAAATAGTTTAAAAAATATATCTGCTGACCATAGACCAATTTGGCATCCGTTTCTTCTGACATTTCTCTTCACCATCTTCACATTTGTATGCTTTGCTTCTCAGGTCCTCCCGGGTTACCTGGTCCTTCAGGACAGAGCATTATAATCAAAGGAGATGCTGGTCCTCCAGGGGTTCCTGGCCAACCTGGATTAAAAGGTCCACCAGGATTTCCAGGCCCTCCAGGCTTACCAGGTACCTTTGTGGATCATTGTTTCAGGCCTTAATTTGCTCCTTACATGTCAAGAGTTTTTCTCTGACAATAATAGTCTCAGCTATGAATAGAATGCCAGTCCACCACAGGTCCCACCTCCACTTTTCTTGTAAATCTTCAAATCTCAAACTGGGCGGTGGTGGCGCACACCTTTAATACTAGTACTCGATAGACAGAGGCAAGTAGATCTCTGAATTCGAGATCAGCCTGGTCTACAAGAGCTAGTTCCAGAACAGGCTCCAAAGCTACCAAGAAACTCTGTCTCGAAAAACGAAAGAAAGAAAAAAAGAAAGAGAAAGGAAGGAAGGAAGGAAGGAAGGAAGAAAGAAAGAAAGAAAGAAAGAAGTGTTAAAATCTCATGCACAACCACCCTTTAGGTCCAACCATATTTCTTTGAACTCCTCTGGCCATGATAATTGAAATGACTCGACTGTGTTAAAATCCATTTTTCCCCCTGTAGGTCCAATTGGCCCTCCAGGAGATCCAGGGCGCAATGGGCTCCCAGGCTTTGACGGTGCAGGAGGGCGCAAAGGAGACCCAGGTCTGCCTGGACAGCCAGGTAAAATGACTGAAATAGTGCTGCTGCTTGTAACGTTTGTGTTTTCAAGGGCACTGGATGTGAGCCTGTATTTGTAACTGTGGTAACTTCTTAATGAAAGAGCATGACTAACTGTCACATCCAGAGCTAGGGCAAAATAGGAAGGCACAACCAAGGAGCTATGCTATGCCAGACAAACATAAACATGTTACTTGGATTTTGCTTGTATATAAAGCACTAGAAATCCAAAATATTCTTCCAAGTACCCCAAATAATTACTAGTTGAACTATTTTATTTTTATTGTAGCAGGTGTTTAAACCCAGGGCTTGAGTGTGCTGGGCAGGTTACTATTAAGACACATCTCCAGCGCTACTCAACTAAATTTCAGTGTGTTTATTTAAATCCCACAACTCCCTTATAACAACTTTTAATCTTTCTTCATTTTCTAATATTACAGAAGATAATTTCCCATAAAATGCAATAAATACAGGTTAAAAATCTTAAATGATAACCATAGAACTTTGAAGATCATGGTGAAATCTCATGATGCGAAGATTGTTTAAGACAGTGATTAGTAGGTTCTCTTTACAATATTAATTTGGAGCAGGACAGTGGTGGCCCACACCTTTAATCCTAGCACTCAGGAGGCAAAGGGATCTCTGAATTTGAGGGCAGCCAGATCTAAAAAGCGAGTTCCAGGACAGCCAGAGCTGCACATAGAAACCCTGTCTTGAAACAAACAAACATAAAACAATATTGACCTTTATATCTACTAAGTTTATTTCATTGTTTTGTTTTTTGCTTCAATATATCACTATGCAGTAATGATTGGCTCAGGCTTCATAATGTAGTCTGGGCTGGCCTAAAATTCATAACAATCTTCTTCCTTCAGCCTCCTGAGTGCTGAGACTCATCTTCCTAAATTCTTATCTGACATCAACCTAGTTCCAAAAAGTATTTGATTATGCTTGTAAAAGAAAATATACTAATATGATTGCTAAAATAAAAAAATAGAAGCTGAGTGGTCTTGGCAAACACCTTTAATCCCAACACTAGGGATGCAAAGAAGGAAGATCTCTGTGAGTTCGAGGCTAGCCTGGTCTACAGAGTGAGAGCTCCACTCAGAGCTACACAGAGAAACCCTGTCTCTAAAACAAAACAAAACAAAGCAACAATAACAAAAAATTAGGAAGATTATAACTGAATAGATTGTTAACATGTTAATAACCTTAGGCTTTATATGTGTGTGTATAAAACAAGATAATATAAACATAAAGAATGTGTGTTAGAAAAATGTATCATTGGTAACAATACAAAGTAGTGATTCATGTGGGCCTTCCTAGAGCCAACACTGTCAATTTAGTAACTTTGTTTTTCCAGAGAATGAACAAATTAGTGACGTCCTTATCACAGGTATGAAGTGTCCTAAAGGCAAAGCTCAGCACAAACTGCTTAAAGACCTTGATATAAGAATTTTTAAATAAGCTCATGCAAAGGAGATCTAGTGGTATATTAAAATAGTGCATTTTGGAGGCTTCTTAAGTGTGTGTTACCTATGTTGTAAGCAAGTATCCTTCAGAACAGTTCTCCAGAGTAGTGAAAGGAAAGGGTTTCAGCACTGAAGCCGGAAGAACTGCAGAAACCATACCTTTCTTTTCCTGTTGATGAACAAAACAGCTGGCTGAAATTTGGTTGTAAGAGTCAAATTCCTTTAGTATAGCAAGAGAATAGATAACATACTGGCTTTCAATAGGCCTCACTTCGTCCCACCGAAAACTCTATTCTTCTAGGATTTTAGATCTCAATGTCTTTAGCCAATACCAGGAGGAAATAAATACAATCACTTTGAGGGCAAAAGAAATAATCTCATTTGTCTCTCTGCCCGTTATATCTGAAAATACTTTTATAGACACCCTATAAATATTGAATAAATTAACCACTCAAATTAAGTCATTATACTTTGTTTATAGCCACAATAGTGGTTTAAAGCTTACTTAATCTTGATTTAATAAAATTAGGTATGCGTGGATTGGATGGTCCCCCAGGACCAGATGGATTGCAAGGACCTCCAGGTCCCCCTGGAACCACCTCAGTTGCCCATGGATTCCTCATCACACGCCACAGTCAGACAACAGATGCCCCACAATGCCCACAGGGAACAGTGCATATCTATGATGGCTTTTCTCTCCTGTATGTACAAGGAAATAAAAGAGCCCACGGTCAAGACTTGGGTAAGATAGTTGGCGTCAAATTTCTCTCTATGCATTTTGTGTTTATTTTAAAAATCCTCTTGGGGCCTAGAGTGACCTTAGACAAAGTACATACCTCTTTTCTTTGGGTTCTTCAAATTGAAGATAATATCAAGGCCAACTAACTACAGTCACTATAGATTTTAAATGAATAGTTTTAAGTTCAAATAAAAATATTCAAGTCATTGTAGCTAGTACATGGTACCATTTTTGGCTTAAAACAAGATGACTTCAAAGGGACCATGTTTCCTTTTATTTAGCTTAGTAAGGGAATATTTGTTCTGGGCTCTCTACAGTAGAGCAGCTGTTTGATTACACAGCCAGGTCTACAGAGTGAGTTCTATGACATCCAGGGCTACACAGAGAAACCCTCTTTCAAAAACCAAAAAGTGGGGAGGGAACAAAGGATTTATTTTCTCTCATAGTGCAATATTATTCTGTGGTCAGCTAGTGCCACTGTCTCCTGACCTTAATGATGCAAAACATTATGGTGGAAGGGCATTGAAGAGCAGACTACTTCCTAGTCATCGTTTCATGATGACTAGGAAGTAGGGAAATGAAAGTCTGTGCTAGTGGGCTTTCTTCTTTCTCTCTTTTTCCTCTTCTTTATGCCAAGTCTATTGGATGGTATGATCCATATTCAAGGTGGGCTCTCCTTTATCAGGAAACAAACACACCTAGAGGTGTGCTTTACTAACTCTGTAGGTGTGAGGGATGTCTCAGTGCACTGGAGTTGAGAATCTAGATTAAATATCAATTTAACCTTGACTTTCCTTTTCTTTGTTCTTCTTGCAATTTTTCCTTCTTCTTTCACGTTTGTTTAACTTTCAGTTTATCTCTAAACCTGTCTGTAATTGGTCAGCATTATTATTAATATTATTAATACGCTTGAAGAAATTCCTAGCCCACACAAGATGCATACTGAACACATCTTAGAAAAAGGGGTCAACATAGATATTGACAGATTCTGCAAAGATTTAGTATGTCTCTTTTATGTGTCCTCAAAAAACGTATAGAAGTTCTTCAGTAGACACCATTGTTTGTAGGATCCATAACGAACTTAAAAACAACACTGGGAATATGTAATTATTTATAACAATGAAATCTACATTCATTGTAAAATACATCTTGATTTTATAAATGACAAAATGAGTGAAAGCTGGGATTTCAAAAACCGGTGTTTTTTAATCTAAGAAATGTGCACAATTTCTTTATAAAACATTGTTTTTATGATTTCAGGAGAAAGTAAACATAATGTATTCCTTCATCTTTTTCTTTTCAATTCTTCTTAGGAACCGCTGGCAGCTGCCTTCGTCGATTCAGTACCATGCCTTTCATGTTCTGCAACATTAACAATGTTTGTAACTTTGCTTCAAGAAATGACTATTCTTACTGGCTTTCCACCCCAGAGCCCATGCCAATGAGCATGGAACCCCTGAAGGGTCAGAGCATCCAGCCATTCATTAGTCGGTAAGACAGTGATTTAGCTTTTACTTTTACCAATCTCAGCTTAGTTTAACTTGTAAGAAATCAGTCTAAAATGGACAATCAGTGCTATTCAACCCAAGTTATATATACAAGAGTGATTTTTAATATCAACTCCATATTTGGTTTGAACTGTGTTTGTTGGAGATCAACTTTTGATCAGGTCCTATGACAAGCATTTTAATATAAAGAGAACTCAGCCTAGTCACTAGGCAATATACTTGTGTATATTTGTGCTAATTTGTACTAATGTGGTATGTATCCAGCTTAGGCTAAGTACTACAAAAGATCAAATAAAACATTTGGCAAAAGTATGGAGGAAAGGATGTTTAATTCTAACTGGCGACACCTGAGGATCTCAAAGAAATATATTTTGTGCTGCTCTGTCTTTGATAGATTGGAAAACAACTAGCTAAACATATAATTTTTTTTTAAATCAAAGAGCTTAAGCTTGGACCTCTGTTTGTCTGACGCAGTGGTTGAGAGCAGAGTGCCCAACGCAGTTGGGATAGGGTTGTTTGTTTGTTTGTTTGTTTATCATAGTAGAGGTTGGGGTGAGGGCATTTCCAGGGTTCAGAACCCTGATTGGCTGACATTTGTCTAGGGGCCTTGGCAAAAGAGGAATAGATGAGTCCTGGGCTCAGGGAGATCTGGTGATCTTATCAAATCCTGTCTATGGTTGGGTTGTCGGGTACTTGCCTTTAGATGCTGGCCCTCCCTGGGTGGTGTCAGCTTATGGCTTTTCCTGGAACCTGGTGCGGCCTCCCATGGCAGCTGTGTGGTCTGGGCCCCATGTGTGGCCAAGTTGTAGACATGGCTCAGAGGTTGAGAGCTACACATATAATTATAGGGAAAGTTGTAGTAAGGAAAAAAATGAGAATGGAAAATAGACAAAGATCTTGAGAATGTAAAGTTTCCATAGGGAGAAAGATTAGAAAATTATCTTGAGCACAGATAGTAGAATGCTTTAACTGCTGAATTATAGCTTGGAATTTATTTGATATATTATAATGAGCAGCACTATCACCCCTCAAACAATTATTTGAGATAAAGTTTACAGAAGATTAAAGCACTATCAATGTACTTGAATTGCGTAGGGATAGTCCTTGGCTAGAGTTCTGTTACATTGAATATTATTGATGTGATCCTGATGTGACTGGATTATATCTCACAGTGGAAAATATACACCACATTATTAGGATTAAACAGAAATCGGGAGTTGAAGTAATAGATGAGATTTGGCATTCCCTTAAAGTAACTGTTAGAGGCTGGTCCCATTAGCAGAGATTTCCTGTTTTGTTTTGTTTTTTTTTTTTTTAAATTTATTTATTTATTAAGGATTTCTGCCTCGTCCCCACAACCGCTTCCCATTTCCCTCCCCCTCCCCCCGATCAAGTCCCCCCCCCCTCATCTGCTCGAAGAGCAATCAGGGTTCCCTGACCTGTGGGAAGCCCAAGGACTGCCCACCTCTATCCAGGTCTCGTAAGGTGAGCATTCAAACTGCCTAGGCTCCCACAAAGCCAGTACATGCAGTAGGATCAAAAACCCACTGCAATTGTTCTTGAATTCTCAGTATTCCTCATTGTCCGCTATGTTCAGCTAGTCCGGATTTATCCCATGCTTTTTCAGACCTAGGCCAGCTGGCCTTGGTGAGATCCCAATAGAACATCCCCATTGTCTTAGTGTGTGGGTGCCCCCCTTGTGGTCCTGAGTTCCTTGCTCGTGCTCCGTCTCCTTCTGCTCCTGATTTGGACCTTGAGATTTCTGTCCGGTGCTCCCGTGTGGGTCTCTGTCTCTGTCTCCTTTCATCGCCTGATGAAGGTTAATATTCCTGAGGATGCCTATGTGTTTGTCTTTGGATTCGCCTTATTTAGCTTCTCTAGGAACATGAATTATAAGCTCAATGTCCTTTATTTATGGCTAGAAACCAAATATGAGTGAGTACATCCCATGTTCCTTTGCTGGAGAGGTTGTGGAGAAAGGGGTACACTCACCCATTGCTGGTGGGAATGCAAACTTGTGCAACCACTCTGGAAAGCAGTGTTTCGGTTTCTCAGGAAATTCGGGATCAACCTACCCCTGGATCCAGCAATACCACTCTTGGGAATATACCCAAGAGAGGCCCTATCATACAACAAAAGTATATGCTCAACTATGTTCATGGCAGCATTGTTAGTAATAGCCAGAACCTGGAAACAACCTAGATGCCCTTCAACGGAAGAATGGATGAAGAAAGTATGGAATATATACATATTAGAGTATTACTCAGCAGTAAAAAACAAGGACTTCTTGAATTTTGCATACAAATGGATGGAAATAGAAAACACTATCCTGAGTGAGGTAAGCCAGACCCAAAAAGAGGAACATGGGATGTACTCACTCATATTTGGTTCCTGTTTTGTTTTTGTCTTTTGTTTTGTTTTGTTTTTCACTTTGGAGCAGTAACTTAAAGCGATCTCTTGAGAATACTGGATAGTGCTACTGGTATTGTGATCATGATACAGGGTTCTAGTAACCTGAAGGGATGGCTAACTACTAAGTCTAATTTCTTTGACACTGAATACAATGATGTTACCTATTTTGTCTTTATCAGCAGTTTCATGATTCCCTTGGTAATATAGTTACCTAAATCCATGTGTGTTGCGGGGTGGAGGAGCATAGCAATGCATGGAAGTGTTTAGGGGAGAATTTTTTTTTCAGTCTCAACTTTATGGACTAAAAGTTTCCATAATATATTATGTATTATCCAGATAAATTTTGATAAATTAACCTCCATCATATTTCAAGATGTTCCTTCATGCTCTTTATTAAAATTTTGATATATGCAGCAATATTTATTCTGTGGCTCTTTTTACTCATGCTATAGTTTCAACCACATCTCATCTGCTGCCTGGACACCTCCCCAGCCTTTCTGGGTCAGTTGCCTTTACCCAAATGTGGCCAAAAGACTAATAAATATCCTTTGGAGGACGAATACTGGGTGGAGATTGAGAAAATATCTGATTCTTGTCTTCCAGCTTAACAGACATTGTTCTTACCACAGTCATACATTATTAATTGTCTACCTCCAGTTGGGCACTTTGACTGCAAGTATGTAGAGCTCAGTAAGCCAAACTTCTACGGCAATTACACCACTGGCTACAGCAAGTCTGATGCAAATTTATGTCACAATGGAAAATGAAAATGCAGTAGCTGTAATACTACAATGTCTTGAAAAAAAGCCTTGCAGTTTCTGCTTATAAATGTATTATGCATGTGGGAAGAGAGTTTTTATGCAAAAATGATCTTCAAAATGCATTTTTCTCCTCTTCTGATCATTGAGGACATGGTCAAGGGCCTCAGAAGGCTTCTCTGAAGAATGATTATTGTTTCCTTCGTACTCACTCATGTTCTCTCTCCCTTTCCTTTACCAGATGTGCAGTGTTTGAGGCACCAGCTGTGGTGATCACAGTTCACAGCCAGACTATTCAAATTCCACATTGTCCTCAGGGGTGGGATTCTCTGTGGATTGGTTATTCCTTCATGATGGTATGGAACATTCATCCTTGCTTTTCTCATCACAGTTGACCCTCCATCATATGTCCATTTCTCCCAACTTGAAGACAGCTCAGTTATCTGTGTAGTAATAAGTTTGAATACCAAATAGCTTCTGTCCAAGCACTGTGTTCTCCCTCCCACATTTTCTATAATACATCTTTATGTACTATAGACATATATATATATATGTATAATATGTGGATTATATATTTATGCCCATTGCTTTTGTTGATTGCTCTTGATGTGGATACTGTTCTCTTACCTTTAGTCCTAGTTTTCTTTATTGTGTTCTAACTTGTGACCATCTTAGGTATTTATATTGAATAATCACTAAAGCATTATAGTACATAGGTGTTATAGAACATGTTCTTTTGTTTTAGCATACAAGCGCATGAGCAGAAGGCTCAGGCCAAGCCTTAGCCTCTCCTGGTTCCTGTTTGGAGGAATTTCGTTCGGCTCCTTTCATTGAATGTCATGGGAGGGGGACATGCAACTACTATGCCAATTCCTATAGCTTTTGGCTGGCCACTGTTGATATGTCAGACATGTTCAGGTAAGTCGCTTATGGCTTTAGTTCAGGCCTAGAACCTTCTTCATAGATACTAGTGAAGAGAGATTTTATTAATGGGTGGTATATCTCCTGTGAATTTGAGGAATTTGTTGGACTGAGTTATTTAGTATTAGCTTGTTCTCCATATCTACCTAACTTATCATATAGAAACTAATGTTACTAATGGCAGGTCAGTATGGTTACAGGTAGCTTAGCATTAACCTTTCAATAACAAAATATCAGGACTTGGTCTACTAAAATGGGATTATTTCAAAAACTGAAACTAGTCTATCCCAATTTCACAATTCTTTTCTAAGAATATTTTCAGGGACTTCATCCCAAGTCTTTGATGGAATAAAATAGCACATAATGCTTATATTTCTGACTACCTCAATTTTTTGAAGTTTGTCTTTATTTTTATGTACTGCCTCCTTCTTGATATTTTTCATATGATCCTCATCTTGTATTGCACATCAATTGCCTAAACTTTTCTCATTTTATGAATATTAGGAAAGGTATCACAAAAACAGCAGCAGAGAAACAAATATATGAAGATGACAGTAGTGGGGAAAGCAGTCACAGAGATACATGTGAAGATATAGAAAATGAGGTATAGATAGATATACAGCGGAGTTTTATTCTGCCAGGCAAAATTACATTATGTATGACGCCAAAATCCATGATATTCAAAATAAACTAAACTTAGACAAATATCCATATTTTCTCTCTCATTGCTGAATCTAAGATTTTACACACATACACACATACACATGCACACACACAAATGAAATTAATTAGAAACAAGTTTGTCTAGGGAAAGAAAAAACACTATGGAATATACGGAGAAAGGTATAGTGTGAACATATATGATAAACATGAATGAAAATCTCTTTATAGAACTC